GTGCAATATCACGCGTGGCCTGCGCCCACCCACAAACATAGGACAGCCGACTCAAAGAGGCCGCCGCCCGGATCCCAAACCCTCCGAGTCACACTGGGAGATGCAGCTGCATGCGTGCGCGCCTAGACCGGTCGGGGTCCTGCTCCCAAGTGCCAGGTGGGAAAAGCTGCTCAAAGCAATCCTCCAGACAGCTATCCCAATCCCTAAAGGCCTCCACCACCTCCGGACGCGGCGGCATAGTCCAGGCCAGGTACATCGGCTGTGCTGAAACTGCAATGGCGAGGAGATGTGAAGCCATCTGGGGGTGGTCGAGCAGGGGGAGCCATGGCAATGGCGCCTGCAACTGTCGAAGCCGCTCCCGTAACCGGGCCACCTCCCAATCCTCCTCCCCAATAGGCACGCCCACCACAGTGAGACCCTCCTCCACCCGCTGCATCCCCAATGGCAGTGCCGACTCCACATCCTCGCCCTCTCGCTCCCAAAACCGGCACTTGTGCGCCTGCACCTCCAGCCTCACCCACTCCAACCGCTCCCGCAGCACCCCAAAAGCCTCTAGAATCCTAGCCGCTGGTCCCATGATATAGGTATCGTCTGCATAACTCAGGAAAAGTAGGTCCCTGAACTCTCTAGTCACCGACTCCATCACCTGCTGCTGCGTGAACGCGAAAAGAAAAGGGGCGAGCGAGTCCCCCTGCCGCGATCCTCGTGCCGACTCAAGGCTCTGTACGAAAGGGCCTGCTCAGAGGTACAGGTCGCTAGGTGTCCCGTAGAAAACACGCAAGAATGGGATCAACCCTGAGAAAGGCGACTCCCGCAGCCCCTCAAACATCGCATGACGGTGAAACGAATTGAAGGCGTTCGCGACGTCTATCTGCAGCGCACACCAGTCGGGGTGAGTGGCCAGCGCTGAACGGAAAGAATGAGTAAGAATCTCCACCCCGGCCCTGGTGCCCGCTCCCAGCTGGTTGCACGGCAGAAAGTAGGAAGCCATCGCAGGGCGGAGCGAGATGCAGAGAGCTCGAGCAAGGATACGCGGAAGCACCTCCCCAATCGCCACCGGCCGGACGTCGCCGTTAGGCTTGGAAAGCCCAACTAGGTTGGATGCGGCGAGCCAGGGCCGAGCCCGCTCGGGGACCTGTCCCGCCACCCATTGGTTAAACACTTCCAATAGGTGGGAAAGGCAGGAAGGTGCAGTGAGGAAGGTGTCGCGCAGATGCTCTGTGACCCACCCCGATGGCCCTGCTGCAGAAGCGCGAGCGACTGTATGGATAGCTCAGGCCAGGATGTCGGTCATGAGTGGAGGCCGCTGAGTAGCATCGACGGTGAAATCATGGACCCACTGTGGTACCTCGCCCGTGCTAGCAGGGTGCTTCTCCCGCAGCGACTGCACCATGGCCTCAGACGGTCGGGCCAACTCCCCTGCCGTAAGGCAAGCCAATCCATGGCTCCACTCTCCCACTTTACACCGAGATCGGCACCGTGACATGCGGATGGCATCCGGGTCCTGGTCAGAGCAAGTGTAAGCAAGTGGGCGATCTGCTGGCCGCGCCACCACCATGGCAGAGTCGAACAGCTCCCGCCACCTCCCCTCCCAGAACGCCCCCAGCTGCTCTATGATCAGCGATTTCTGACCTATGCCTGGCTTGGGAGGCACGGCTAGGATGAGGCGCGGAAACGCCAAGAGTAGGAGGGTAGCGGCTTCATCCCCCAGTCGGCTCTTCAAACGCTTTAAAGCCCAAGACCTGAATTACAAAAAAAGGAAGGCAAACTGTGCACAGTTTGCCTTCCGAGCCCACAGTTGACTTCCCGAGCCTCTCTGGTTACCAAATGACGCCCCGCAAAACTGCAGAGAGTCGTAAGCCCAAAATTGGTTGGCGAGAGTCCCAACCGCTCCCTCCTGAAGGGAGTAGGGCAAGGCAAGCTGTGTACAGATTGGAAATTGTTGTAATTCAGGTCATGCTCGACCACGTAGTAGTCACGTGAAACTCCTAGGTAGAGCAGAAAGCCAATAGAGCTGGAGCCCAATCCACCGGAAAAAAAAAAAAAAAAAAAAACACCAAACAGATTCTATGCGATGGCGCCGCTTTTTACTCAGCGTCGTCGTCGAAACCCTGCGCGACCGCGCAAACGACAGTTTGCGGCGCATGCATCTCCTCTCCGAGCTCGATAATAGGTAATCAAACGGTCGATCGCGGTCATTTCCCGCGCATTCGCCCTATGTTTGCCTCAGCTACATTCCCCTCCCGCGCTTCCTAGTCGACGTCACACCCTGCCACCCACGCTTCCCCTCGTCGCCGTCGCCGTCCCCCACGCTTCCCCCCACCGTCGCCCTCGCTTCCTCCAGCTGTCGCTCACACTTTACTCCGTCGTTGACCACGCTCCCCCTCCCGTCGCTTTCGCTTCCTCCCACCGTCGCCCTCGCTTCCTCCCACCGTCGCCCTTGCTTCCTCCCACCGTCGCCTTCGCTTCCTCCAACCGTCGCTTTCGCTTCCTCCCACCGTCGCCCTCGCTTCCTCCCACCGTCGCCCTCGCTTCCTCCCACCGTCGCCCTCGCTTCCTCCCATCGTCGCCCTCGCTTCCTCCCACCGTCGCCCTCGCTTCCTCCCACCGTCGCCCTCGCTTCCTCCCACCGTCGCCCTCGCTTCCTCCCACCGTCGCCCTCGCTTCCTCCCACCCTCCCCTACACTCCGCCGTCGTCATCACTTCCCTGCCTATCACGTTCACCCTCTTCGTCACACGTCGCCTCTCTCTCTCCCCCTATTCTACCTTCACCACTCCTACCGTCATCCATGGTTACCACCCCACACTTGAACCCTTCTCATTCTCTCACATTCTCCCTTCTCCCTTGCTTCTCGCCCACACTAAACGCAGAGATGTATGGCGCCTGGGTGCTGGGTATGGGGTCGTGAATTGTTCGCTGTGGGGTGTGTGAGGGTGCGTGGTGCGAAGGCTAGGGGAGAATGAAAGCTGATGGGGTGCGAGTCGAGGAGCACGCACCCTGCCCCTCACGCTGTGTCACTCACAACCCAATGGCAGCACAGCAAGCTTAGCAACCTCCTCCTCACTCTCGCACCAACCCCGCACACAGCCGGGGAAGCTCGTGCAGGCGGGCAGTGAGGAGCGCTGTGCACAAGGGGGCGAGGGGGTGGGGCAAGGGAGCGGGGGAGGCGTGGCAGGGGAGTGAGGGAGGGGGGAGTGGGGGAGGCGGGGCAGGGGAGTTGGGGAGGGGGGCAGGGGAGTGGGGGAGGGGGGGCAGGAAGCCGTCCCGTCTTCCTCCTCTTCCTCTTATTTGCCTTCTCCTGTCCATCCTTCCACTCTCCATGCCTCCCTCCTCTCTTTCTCTCTCTTTCCCTCCTTCACTTCTCCCGTCCGCCCGTGCTCCCAGCCTCCCTCCTCCGTACCACTCTCCCACCCACTCTTTCTTTCATCCTCCTGCCTCTCTTCCACCCTGCCACTCTTCTTTTCAGACTGCCACCTTCCGAGCTTCTTTTAGTCCACCTTTCCGTCTCACCCACTTGTCCTCTCCCAACTTGATCCTCACATCCTCCCATCCCCCCTTCTCCCCTTCCACCCTCCAACCCTTGCGCTCATCCTCCCTTCGTCTCACCCTCCTTTTTTCTCATCCTCCCATCCTCCCTCTCTTCCCTCCCCCCTCCCTTCCCCCTGTCCTCCCTTCCTCCCTTCCTTTCTTCCTCTCTTCCACCCTCTGCCCTACTCTCTGCTTCAGTGTCTTTCTCCCCTCTCTTTCCCCTTTCCTCCCTCCCTTCATCTCATCCTCTCTTCCGCCCTTCCTCCTTGTCTCCCTTGCTCATTTCTCCCTCCTCATATTCCCTGTTCCCTGCGTCCCTCGCTGCCATCCTCCCTTCCTCTCAGCCTCCTCACTTCCTCTCGTCAACCATTCCTCCGCACCCTTCTACCCTGCCACGCCTATACACTCCTACCTTGTTCTAGGGGCTTGTTTCTTGTTGCCTGCCTGCCCTTGCATTGTCATTGTTTTGTATCCTTCCCCGCTGCTTCGACTCTTGGCACATTAGATTTTGTGGTTCGTGTTTGTGCAGGTCTGCCATGTATCTACGTAGCTGTGATGCCTTCACTCTTTGATGATAGTGGTATGACAAATAGCCATGCCATGTATGTTGGATGCTTCTCATGATACAACACTTTGGGCCTCGGAGCAGCCATGTACGTGAGCACGACAATGAAATGCAACAAAGCAAGAGATTTTCTTCCTTACAGTTGTCGCCAGTGGACTACAGGCACAATGCACAAATCTGGAAGGTGGTAACTTTCCATCCCACTCCTGTTGGGATCCATGGTGCTGGGCACCTGTACAAGCATGGTTCTGTGATAGAACGGGGAGGGAAGAGTGGGTATGGCGAATAAGCAAGGGCTGGATGTTGGAGGTACAGAAGGGCATGTATAGCTGTGGAGCGAAAGGCAGTGCGGATGGTGGTGGTGCTGATGCTGCTCGGGCTGTTGCTGTTGCTCTAGGAGTTACAACTGCTGCTACTTCTGCTGCGCCAGCTGCGCGCCTTTCTCCCTCCCCCTCCTCCTCCTCCTCCTGCTGCCGTGTCAAGAGCGGCTCCCTCAGCACGTCCCCAGCACCGCCAGCACTCGCAGATGCGGGCACATGGGGTCCCTTGCGCGCCGAGTCAGAGGAGGCACCTTGCGCAGAGGGGCGTCGCGAGGAGCAGCGCTGTGACGCTGGTGCCAGGGAGGCTGCCAGACCCACCGGGCTGCGCAGGGCGGACGCACCAGCAGCACCAGCAGCAGCACTGCCTCCGGCACCTGTGCCTGCAGCTGGAGAAACGGGAGCAGCGGCGGCAGCAGGAGCAGCAGGCGCAGCAGTGAGAGTGAGTGCAGGAGGCGGGGGCGAGGCGCCAATGGTGAAGGCAGGAGAGGGCGGGGAGAAGGTGGATTGAGAGAACGCCAGCCTGGCCCTTGCAGGCGCCAGCGCGACCGCCGAGTCAGAGGAGGGGGGGATAGAGCCGGGCGGAGGGTTACCCTCCCGTGCTGCTGGAAATCCCCCCCTGCTGCTGACCGCCCATGGGGCTGCTGCTGCCCCCCATGCCTTGCACTGCAAGGAATGCACCCGACGACGCACCACCGGCGCCCATGCTGCTGCTCCCCTCCGTCGCCCAGTACGCTCCCGAGGCACCCTCCATCGCACCACCGCCACCCGTGCCCATGCCCACGAGCAAGGGCATGGCTAGCGCGCCTCCCACTCCCCCTCCCCCTCCCCCTCCGCCTCTCAGCGAGGGAGCTGACGCGGCTGATGTCTGACAGCAGAGAGTCGTAGCTCTCACTCCGCTCCAACACTCCCCGGCCCCCCCCCGCGTGCCCTCCCTCTCCCCCTCCCTCCCCCGCCTGTCCCCCCCCAGACGCGCCTCGTCCTCGGGGAAGCTGCCCAGCATCACTGCCCGCTCCTCCCTCCCCAAGTTCCGTGCGGGGGAAGCGAAGGCTCCGCGCGGGGAAGCGAAGGCTCCGCGCGGGGGAAGCGAAGGCTCCGTGCGGGGGAAGCGAAGGCTCCGCGCAGGGGAAGCGAAGGCTCCGCGCGGGGGAAGCGAAGGCTCCGCGCGGGGGAAGCGAAGGCGACGCGCGGGGAAATCGAAGGCGACGGGGGGGAGAAGCGAAGGCGACGGGCGGGATAAGAGAAGGCAACGGTCATCCGAAAGCGAAGGCGGCGACGGGCGGGGGAAGCGAAGGCGACAGGATGGGGCCGCGAATGCGATGGGCTGCGGAAGCGAAGGCGACGACGCGGGCGATGGACAGAGGAAGCGTGGGACCCGGGTGAAGGAAAGCGAGGGCGAGGGATGGTTACGCTTGGCCGAACGTGAGGGTTATGCGAAACCTGCATTTTTACACCATATCTCATCGCACGCCGCTCAATATCCTTACGCTTCGAACTCACATTATGCACCACACACCATCGCATCGCGCCTTGATCGCTCTAGAGTCAACGGCTACGCCCTGCCTACACGTATTCTATATTATGCCTAGTTTTAGTCTGCTGCTAGGATTGTCAAAGTGTGCACAGTTTGGTAGGCACGCTCAACTCTGGTTGTGGGAAGCACGCCATTCATCACAGGTCTTCTTCCAAGCGACACAACTTTGTTGCAAACTGGTTTCGCGAGTGAAAGGGTTTCGCAACCAAACCGAACCTCTTCCGAACCTAGTTTTTTGGCGTTGACTTCCGTTGAGTAATTCAGATCTTGGGCTTTAAGATGCAACAGAGCGCGTCTAAGACCCCTGACCGGGCCCGCTGTGGGATCCGGCACACTGTCCTCCCTCCAACCGCCTCCACACTGAAAAATGCTTCCCATTCCCATGACGTAACCCCGGCCCACGCCTCGTCCCCAAATTCCCGCGGCGTCGGTCGCTCCTGCGTGTCGGTCTCCACCAGAGACGGTATCGAGCCAAGTGCCTGCGCGCGCCTCTCCGCCTCAGCCGCCCGGCATACCCTCATGTGGTTCGCAGCAGCCCCTCGCGTAGCAAACATGTGAAAACACGTGTCACACGGAAAACGGGGGCATGGGGAAGGCGGCCTGGGAGGTTCTCCGCCCGCCTCTGACTCCTCCGCAGTCGCCATGGGGGTATCAAACTCCGAAATTCGGCACCACTCCTCCAACTGCTGCTCCCGGTCGTCTATCGACTGCCCCCCTGGCTGCTGCTCTCTCTGGGGTGCTCCGGTCACCCCCAGCTGCTGCTCTCTCTGGGGTGCTCCGGTCACTCCCGGCTGCCCCCCTGGCTGATGTGTTCTCTGGGGTGCTCCTGTCACCCCCGGCTGCCCCCCTGGCTGCTGCTCTCTCTGAGGTGCTCCGGCCACCCCCGGCTGCCCCCCTGGCTGCTGCTCTCCCTGCGGCGCTCCGGTCACCCCCGGCTGCCCCCCTGGTTGCTGCTCTCCCTGGGATGCTCCGGTCACCACCGGCTGCCCCCCTGGCTGTAGCACTCCCTGGGGTGCTCCGGTCACCCCCGGCTGCCCCCCTGGCTGTAGCACTCCCTGGGGTGCTCCGGTCACCCCCGGCTGCCCCCCTGGCTGTAGCACTCCCTGGGATGCTCCGGTCACCCACGGCTGCCCCCCTGGCTGTAGCACTCCCTGGGGTGCTCCGGTCACCCCCAGCTGCCCCCCTGGCTGTAGCACTCTTTGGGGTGGTCCGGTCACCCCCGGCTGCCCCCCTGGCTGTAGCACTCCCTGGGGTGCTCCGGTCACCCCCGGCCAAGCATACCAAGTTTATAAGGCCGTACTCGATACTCGACTCGTATTCGACCGTATTCGGCAACATTCGACTCGTATAAAACGATGGTATTCGATCAAATACCTTTTCCGCAACTACTCGCTAAATACTCGTCTAAGGTACTCGTATTCGACTCGGGTACTCGTTTTCCACCCTTACCTAAGGCTAATGAGAGGTCATGGCGGGCCCTAAATTTTGTCGTTGGGTTGTTGTCGAGTGGGTTGTGTTTTGGTACACAAACTCCAATGTGGTCCCTGCAAGTTCCCAACCCTGTTTCCTTCGCGCACTACTGGCAGGGGGAACACCTCGTCACTCTGCGCAGGGGTTGGGGCAAATATTTGTTGCCTCCCACGCCCAACCACAAACCCGGTAACCATCCAGAGGCAAGTGATAAACCTTTGCCTCGTCATGCGTGGTCTCGCAAATCGTGCGAACATTTCTTTCCGGAAAAACGCTTGGCCGGAAACATGTGCCACACCTTGAGGGTGACATTGGAGATGTTGCCAGGATTTACCGTCCATTGGGGGAAAAGTGGGTGTAAAACACAAAACATTCCGTTGCCGGGACTTGAACCCGGGTCTCTCGGGTGAGAGCCGAGTATCCTAACCGACTAGACTACAACGGATGTTAGTTTTGTTCGTCGCAGAAAACTCGACTATTTGTTCGTTTGCAATTCTGCCGCTCATGATAACGTTTTCCCATGCGGTAGTGATGACGTCGTCTCTCTCCGTCGCCCTGCACGGGGGCGGTCGCGTGCTCAGCATTCAGTCACATACCGTCCAGGTATCCGTCGCAGGCAGTCGTACACCGTCCAGGTATCCTTCGCATTCCGTCGCAGACCGTGTAGGTCACCATTCACCTGCTCGCGGTCCAGATAGCATGTACTCACGCAGATGACAGGTAAGCGAACGATACCGGCATCGTTACGCTACCCCGGCGTAGGAAATGCAAGGCAGCGTTTTTACGTTACGTAGGGTAATCTATGGTAGCCAATGCAACCGCCGGTGGCCGAGAGTCCCCCTCAAGTGTCTCTTGGGTTGCCCTCTCAGGTGTCCTCTCAGGTGTCTCTCAGGTGTCTCTCAGGTGCCCATCTCAGGTGTCCATCTCGGGTGCCCCTTTCAGGTGCCCGCTGACCGGGCCCGCTGTGGGATCCGGCGCACTGTCCTCCCTCCAACCGCCTCCACACTGAAAAATGCTTCCCATTCCCATGACGTAACCCCGGCCCACGCCTCGTCCCCAAATTCCCGCGGCGTCGGTCGCTCCTGCGTGTCGGTCTCCACCAGAGACGGTATCGAGCCAAGTGCCTGCGCGCGCCTCTCCGCCTCAGCCGCCCGGCATACCCTCATGTGGTTCGCAGCAGCCCCTCGCGTAGCAAACATGTGAAAACACGTGTCACACGGAAAACGGGGGCATGGGGAAGGCGGCCTGGGAGGTTCTCCGCCCGCCTCTGACTCCTCCGCAGTCGCCATGGGGGTATCAAACTCCGAAATTCGGCACCACTCCTCCAACTGCTGCTCCCGGTCGTCTATCGACTGCCCCCCTGGCTGCTGCTCTCTCTGGGGTGCTCCGGTCACCCCCGGCTGCTGCTCTCTCTGGGGTGCTCCGGTCACTCCCGGCTGCCCCCCTGGCTGCTGTGTTCTCTGGGGTGCTCCTGTCACCCCCGGCTGCCCCCCTGGCTGCTGCTCTCTCTGAGGTGCTCCGGCCACCCCCGGCTGCCCCCCTGGCTGCTGCTCTCCCTGCGGCGCTCCGGTCACCCCCGGCTGCCCCCCTGGTTGCTGCTCTCCCTGGGATGCTCCGGTCACCACCGGCTGCCCCCCTGGCTGTAGCACTCCCTGGGGTGCTCCGGTCACCCCCGGCTGCCCCCCTGGCTGTAGCACTCCCTGGGGTGTTCCGGTCACCCCCGGCTGCCCCCCTGGCTGTAGCACTCCCTGGGATGCTCCGGTCACCCACGGCTGCCCCCCTGGCTGTAGCACTCCCTGGGGTGCTCCGGTCACCCCCAGCTGCCCCCCTGGCTGTAGCACTCTTTGGGGTGGTCCGGTCACCCCCGGCTGCCCCCCTGGCTGTAGCACTCCCTGGGGTGCTCCGGTCACCCCCGGCCAAGCATACCAAGTTTATAAGGCCGTACTCGATACTCGACTCGTATTCGACCGTATTCGGCAACATTCGACTCGTATAAAACGATGGTATTCGATCAAATACCTTTTCCGCAACTACTCGCTAAATACTCGTCTAAGGTACTCGTATTCGACTCGGGTACTCGTTTTCCACCCTTACCTAAGGCTAATGAGAGGTCATGGCGGGCCCTAAATTTTGTCGTTGGGTTGTTGTCGAGTGGGTTGTGTTTTGGTACACAAACTCCAATGTGGTCCCTGCAAGTTCCCAACCCTGTTTCCTTCGCGCACTACTGGCAGGGGGAACACCTCGTCACTCTGCGCAGGGGTTGGGGCAAATATTTGTTGCCTCCCACGCCCAACCACAAACCCGGTAACCATCCAGAGGCAAGTGATAAACCTTTGCCTCGTCATGCGTGGTCTCGGACGTTAGAGTGGCCATTTACAGGACGAATCTCGCAAATCGTGCGAACATTTCTTTCCGGAAAAACGCTTGGCCGGAAACATGTGCCACACCTTGAGGGTGACATTGGAGATGTTGCCAGGATTTACCGTCCATTGGGGGAAAAGTGGGTGTAAAACACAAAACATTCCGTTGCCGGGACTTGAACCCGGGTCTCTCGGGTGAGAGCCGAGTATCCTAACCGACTAGACTACAACGGATGCTAGTTTTGTTCGTCGCAGAAAACTCGACTATTTGTTCGTTTGCAATTCTGCCGCTCATGATAACGTTTTCCCATGCGGTAGTGATGACGTCGTCTCTCTCCGTCGCCCTGCACGGGGGCGGTCGCGTGCTCAGCATTCAGTCACATACCGTCCAGGTATCCGTCGCAGGCAGTCGTACACCGTCCAGGTATCCTTCGCATTCCGTCGCAGACCGTGTAGGTCACCATTCACCTGCTCGCGGTCCAGATAGCATGTACTCACGCAGATGACAGGTAAGCGAACGATACCGGCATCGTTACGCTACCCCGGCGTAGGAAATGCAAGGCAGCGTTTTTACGTTACGTAGGGTAATCTATGGTAGCCAATGCAACCGCCGGTGGCCGAGAGTCCCCCTCAAGTGTCTCTTGGGTTGCCCTCTCAGGTGTCCTCTCAGGTGTCTCTCAGGTGTCTCTCAGGTGCCCATCTCAGGTGTCCATCTCGGGTGCCCCTTTCAGGTGCCCGCTGACCGGGCCCGCTGTGGGATCCGGCGCACTGTCCTCCCTCCAACCGCCTCCACACTGAAAAATGCTTCCCATTCCCATGACGTAACCCCGGCCCACGCCTCGTCCCCAAATTCCCGCGGCGTCGGTCGCTCCTGCGTGTCGGTCTCCACCAGAGACGGTATCGAGCCAAGTGCCTGCGCGCGCCTCTCCGCCTCAGCCGCCCGGCATACCCTCATGTGGTTCGCAGCAGCCCCTCGCGTAGCAAACATGTGAAAACACGTGTCACACGGAAAACGGGGGCATGGGGAAGGCGGCCTGGGAGGTTCTCCGCCCGCCTCTGACTCCTCCGCAGTCGCCATGGGGGTATCAAACTCCGAAATTCGGCACCACTCCTCCAACTGCTGCTCCCGGTCGTCTATCGACTGCCCCCCTGGCTGCTGCTCTCTCTGGGGTGCTCCGGTCACCCCCGGCTGCTGCTCTCTCTGGGGTGCTCCGGTCACTCCCGGCTGCCCCCCTGGCTGCTGTGTTCTCTGGGGTGCTCCTGTCACCCCCGGCTGCCCCCCTGGCTGCTGCTCTCTCTGAGGTGCTCCGGCCACCCCCGGCTGCCCCCCTGGCTGCTGCTCTCCCTGCGGCGCTCCGGTCACCCCCGGCTGCCCCCCTGGTTGCTGCTCTCCCTGGGATGCTCCGGTCACCACCGGCTGCCCCCCTGGCTGTAGCACTCCCTGGGGTGCTCCGGTCACCCCCGGCTGCCCCCCTGGCTGTAGCACTCCCTGGGGTGTTCCGGTCACCCCCGGCTGCCCCCCTGGCTGTAGCACTCCCTGGGATGCTCCGGTCACCCACGGCTGCCCCCCTGGCTGTAGCACTCCCTGGGGTGCTCCGGTCACCCCCAGCTGCCCCCCTGGCTGTAGCACTCTTTGGGGTGGTCCGGTCACCCCCGGCTGCCCCCCTGGCTGTAGCACTCCCTGGGGTGCTCCGGTCACCCCCGGCCAAGCATACCAAGTTTATAAGGCCGTACTCGATACTCGACTCGTATTCGACCGTATTCGGCAACATTCGACTCATATAAAACGATGGTATTCGATCAAATACCTTTTCCGCAACTACTCGCTAAATACTCGTCTAAGGTACTCGTATTCGACTCGGGTACTCGTTTTCCACCCTTACCTAAGGCTAATGAGAGGTCATGGCGGGCCCTAAATTTTGTCGTTGGGTTGTTGTCGAGTGGGTTGTGTTTTGGTACACAAACTCCAATGTGGTCCCTGCAAGTTCCCAACCCTGTTTCCTTCGCGCACTACTGGCAGGGGGAACACCTCGTCACTCTGCGCAGGGGTTGGGGCAAATATTTGTTGCCTCCCACGCCCAACCACAAACCCGGTAACCATCCAGAGGCAAGTGATAAACCTTTGCCTCGTCATGCGTGGTCTCGGACGTTAGAGTGGCCATTTACAGGACGAATCTCGCAAATCGTGCGAACATTTCTTTCCGGAAAAACGCTTGGCCGGAAACATGTGCCACACCTTGAGGGTGACATTGGAGATGTTGCCAGGATTTACCGTCCATTGGGGGAAAAGTGGGTGTAAAACACAAAACATTCCGTTGCCGGGACTTGAACCCGGGTCTCTCGGGTGAGAGCCGAGTATCCTAACCGACTAGACTACAACGGATGCTAGTTTTGTTCGTCGCAGAAAACTCGACTATTTGTTCGTTTGCAATTCTGCCGCTCATGATAACGTTTTCCCATGCGGTAGTGATGACGTCGTCTCTCTCCGTCGCCCTGCACGGGGGCGGTCGCGTGCTCAGCATTCAGTCACATACCGTCCAGGTATCCGTCGCAGGCAGTCGTACACCGTCCAGGTATCCTTCGCATTCCGTCGCAGACCGTGTAGGTCACCATTCACCTGCTCGCGGTCCAGATAGCATGTACTCACGCAGATGACAGGTAAGCGAACGATACCGGCATCGTTACGCTACCCCGGCGTAGGAAATGCAAGGCAGCGTTTTTACGTTACGTAGGGTAATCTATGGTAGCCAATGCAACCGCCGGTGGCCGAGAGTCCCCCTCAAGTGTCTCTTGGGTTGCCCTCTCAGGTGTCCTCTCAGGTGTCTCTCAGGTGTCTCTCAGGTGCCCATCTCAGGTGTCCATCTCGGGTGCCCCTTTCAGGTGCCCGCTGACCGGGCCCGCTGTGGGATCCGGCGCACTGTCCTCCCTCCAACCGCCTCCACACTGAAAAATGCTTCCCATTCCCATGACGTAACCCCGGCCCACGCCTCGTCCCCAAATTCCCGCGGCGTCGGTCGCTCCTGCGTGTCGGTCTCCACCAGAGACGGTATCGAGCCAAGTGCCTGCGCGCGCCTCTCCGCCTCAGCCGCCCGGCATACCCTCATGTGGTTCGCAGCAGCCCCTCGCGTAGCAAACATGTGAAAACACGTGTCACACGGAAAACGGGGGCATGGGGAAGGCGGCCTGGGAGGTTCTCCGCCCGCCTCTGACTCCTCCGCAGTCGCCATGGGGGTATCAAACTCCGAAATTCGGCACCACTCCTCCAACTGCTGCTCCCGGTCGTCTATCGACTGCCCCCCTGGCTGCTGCTCTCTCTGGGGTGCTCCGGTCACCCCCGGCTGCTGCTCTCTCTGGGGTGCTCCGGTCACTCCCGGCTGCCCCCCTGGCTGCTGTGTTCTCTGGGGTGCTCCTGTCACCCCCGGCTGCCCCCCTGGCTGCTGCTCTCTCTGAGGTGCTCCGGCCACCCCCGGCTGCCCCCCTGGCTGCTGCTCTCCCTGCGGCGCTCCGGTCACCCCCGGCTGCCCCCCTGGTTGCTGCTCTCCCTGGGATGCTCCGGTCACCACCGGCTGCCCCCCTGGCTGTAGCACTCCCTGGGGTGCTCCGGTCACCCCCGGCTGCCCCCCTGGCTGTAGCACTCCCTGGGGTGCTCCGGTCACCCCCGGCTGCCCCCCTGGCTGTAGCACTCCCTGGGATGCTCCGGTCACCCACGGCTGCCCCCCTGGCTGTAGCACTCCCTGGGGTGCTCCGGTCACCCCCAGCTGCCCCCCTAGCTGTAGCACTCTTTGGGGTGGTCCGGTCACCCCCGGCTGCCCCCCTGGCTGTAGCACTCCCTGGGGTGCTCCGGTCACCCCCGGCCAAGCATACCAAGTTTATAAGGCCGTACTCGATACTCGACTCGTATTCGACCGTATTCGGCAACATTCGACTCGTATAAAACGATGGTATTCGATCTAATACCTTTTCCGCAACTACTCGCTAAATACTCGTCTAAGGTACTCGTATTCGTCTCGGGTACTCGTTTTCCACCCTTACCTAAGGCTAATGAGAGGTCATGGCGGGCCCTAAATTTTGTCGTTGGGTTGTTGTCGAGTGGGTTGTGTTTTGGTACACAAACTCCAATGTGGTCCCTGCAAGTTCCCAACCCTGTTTCCTTCGCGCACTACTGGCAGGGGGAACACCTCGTCACTCTGCGCAGGGGTTGGGGCAAATATTTGTTGCCTCCCACGCCCAACCACAAACCCGGTAACCATCCAGAGGCAAGTGATAAACCTTTGCCTCGTCATGCGTGGTCTCGGACGTTAGAGTGGCCATTTACAGGACGAATCTCGCAAATCGTGCGAACATTTCTTTCCGGAAAAACGCTTGGCCGGAAACATGTGCCACACCTTGAGGGTGACATTGGAGATGTTGCCAGGATTTACCGTCCATTGGGGGAAAAGTGGGTGTAAAACACAAAACATTCCGTTGCCGGGACTTGAACCCGGGTCTCTCGGGTGAGAGCCGAGTATCCTAACCGACTAGACTACAACGGATGTTAGTTTTGTTCGTCGCAGAAAACTCGACTATTTGTTCGTTTGCAATTCTGCCGCTCATGATAACGTTTTCCCATGCGGTAGTGATGACGTCGTCTCTCTCCGTCGCCCTGCACGGGGGCGGTCGCGTGCTCAGCATTCAGTCACATACCGTCCAGGTATCCGTCGCAGGCAGTCGTACACCGTCCAAGTATCCTTCGCATTCCGTCGCAGACCGTGTAGGTCACCATTCACCTGCTCGCGGTCCAGATAGCATGTACTCACGCAGATGACAGGTAAGCGAACGATACCGGCATCGTTACGCTACCCCGGCGTAGGAAATGCAAGGCAGCGTTTTTACGTTACGTAGGGTAATCTATGGTAGCCAATGCAACCGCCGGTGGCCGAGAGTCCCCCTCAAGTGTCTCTTGGGTTGCCCTCTCAGGTGTCCTCTCAGGTGTCTCTCAGGTGTCTCTCAGGTGCCCATCTCAGGTGTCCATCTCGGGTGCCCCTTTCAGGTGCCCGCTGACCGGGCCCGCTGTGGGATCCGGCGCACTGTCCTCCCTCCAACCGCCTCCACACTGAAAAATGCTTCCCATTCCCATGACGTAACCCCGGCCCACGCCTCGTCCCCAAATTCCCGCGGCGTCGGTCGCTCCTGCGTGTCGGTCTCCACCAGAGACGGTATCGAGCCAAGTGCCTGCGCGCGCCTCTCCGCCTCAGCCGCCCGGCATACCCTCATGTGGTTCGCAGCAGCCCCTCGCGTAGCAAACATGTGAAAACACGTGTCACACGGAAAACGGGGGCATGGGGAAGGCGGCCTGGGAGGTTCTCCGCCCGCCTCTGACTCCTCCGCAGTCGCCATGGGGGTATCAAACTCCGAAATTCGGCACCACTCCTCCAACTGCTGCTCCCGGTCGTCTATCGACTGCCCCCCTGGCTGCTGCTCTCTCTGGGGTGCTCCGGTCACCCCCGGCTGCTGCTCTCTCTGGGGTGCTCCGGTCACTCCCGGCTGCCCCCCTGGCTGCTGTGTTCTCTGGGGTGCTCCTGTCACCCCCGGCTGCCCCCCTGGCTGCTGCTCTCTCTGAGGTGCTCCGGCCACCCCCGGCTGCCCCCCTGGCTGCTGCTCTCCCTGCGGCGCTCCGGTCACCCCCGGCTGCCCCCCTGGTTGCTGCTCTCCCTGGGATGCTCCGGTCACCACCGGCTGCCCCCCTGGCTGTAGCACTCCCTGGGGTGCTCCGGTCACCCCCGGCTGCCCCCCTGGCTGTAGCACTCCCTGGGGTGTTCCGGTCACCCCCGGCTGCCCCCCTGGCTGTAGCACTCCCTGGGATGCTCCGGTCACCCACGGCTGCCCCCCTGGCTGTAGCACTCCCTGGGGTGCTCCGGTCACCCCCAGCTGCCCCCCTGGCTGTAGCACTCTTTGGGGTGGTCCGGTCACCCCCGGCTGCCCCCCTGGCTGTAGCACTCCCTGGGGTGCTCCGGTCACCCCCGGCCAAGCATACCAAGTTTATAAGGCCGTACTCGATACTCGACTCGTATTCGACCGTATTCGGCAACATTCGACTCGTATAAAACGATGGTATTCGATCAAATACCTTTTCCGCAACTACTCGCTAAATACTCGTCTAAGGTACTCGTATTCGACTCGGGTACTCGTTTTCCACCCTTACCTAAGGCTAATGAGAGGTCATGGCGGGCCCTAAATTTTGTCGTTGGGTTGTTGTCGAGTGGGTTGTGTTTTGGTACACAAACTCCAATGTGGTCCCTGCAAGTTCCCAACCCTGTTTCCTTCGCGCACTACTGGCAGGGGGAACACCTCGTCACTCTGCGCAGGGGTTGGGGCAAATATTTGTTGCCTCCCACGCCCAACCACAAACCCGGTAACCATCCAGAGGCAAGTGATAAACCTTTGCCTCGTCATGCGTGGTCTCGGACGTTAGAGTGGCCATTTACAGGACGAATCTCGCAAATCGTGCGAACATTTCTTTCCGGAAAAACGCTTGGCCGGAAACATGTGCCACACCTTGAGGGTGACATTGGAGATGTTGCCAGGATTTACCGTCCATTGGGGGAAAAGTGGGTGTAAAACACAAAACATTCCGTTGCCGGGACTTGAACCCGGGTCTCTCGGGTGAGAGCCGAGTATCCTAACCGACTAGACTACAACGGATGCTAGTTTTGTTCGTCGCAGAAAACTCGACTATTTGTTCGTTTGCAATTCTGCCGCTCATGATAACGTTTTCCCATGCGGTAGTGATGACGTCGTCTCTCTCCGTCGCCCTGCACGGGGGCGGTCGCGTGCTCAGCATTCAGTCACATACCGTCCAGGTATCCGTCGCAGGCAGTCGTACACCGTCCAGGTATCCTTCGCATTCCGTCGCAGACCGTGTAGGTCACCATTCACCTGCTCGCGGTCCAGATAGCATGTACTCACGCAGATGACAGGTAAGCGAACGATACCGGCATCGTTACGCTACCCCGGCGTAGGAAATGCAAGGCAGCGTTTTTACGTTACGTAGGGTAATCTATGGTAGCCAATGCAACCGCCGGTGGCCGAGAGTCCCCCTCAAGTGTCTCTTGGGTTGCCCTCTCAGGTGTCCTCTCAGGTGTCTCTCAGGTGTCTCTCAGGTGCCCATCTCAGGTGTCCATCTCGGGTGCCCCTTTCAGGTGCCCGCTGACCGGGCCCGCTGTGGGATCCGGCGCACTGTCCTCCCTCCAACCGCCTCCACACTGAAAAATGCTTCCCATTCCCATGACGTAACCCCGGCCCACGCCTCGTCCCCAAATTCCCGCGGCGTCGGTCGCTCCTGCGTGTCGGTCTCCACCAGAGACGGTATCGAGCCAAGTGCCTGCGCGCGCCTCTCCGCCTCAGCCGCCCGGCATACCCTCATGTGGTTCGCAGCAGCCCCTCGCGTAGCAAACATGTGAAAACACGTGTCACACGGAAAACGGGGGCATGGGGAAGGCGGCCTGGGAGGTTCTCCGCCCGCCTCTGACTCCTCCGCAGTCGCCATGGGGGTATCAAACTCCGAAATTCGGCACCACTCCTCCAACTGCTGCTCCCGGTCGTCTATCGACTGCCCCCCTGGCTGCTGCTCTCTCTGGGGTGCTCCGGTCACCCCCGGCTGCTGCTCTCTCTGGGGTGCTCCGGTCACTCCCGGCTGCCCCCCTGGCTGCTGTGTTCTCTGGGGTGCTCCTGTCACCCCCGGCTGCCCCCCTGGCTGCTGCTCTCTCTGAGGTGCTCCGGCCACCCCCGGCTGCCCCCCTGGCTGCTGCTCTCTCTGAGGTGCTCCGGTCACCCCCGGCTGCCCCCCTGGCTGTAGCACTCCCTGGGGTGCTCCGGTCACCCCCGGCCAAGCATACCAAGTTTATAAGGCCGTACTCGATACTCGACTCGTATTCGACCGTATTCGGCAACATTCGACTCGTATAAAACGATGGTATTCGATCAAATACCTTTTCCGCAACTACTCGCTAAATACTCGTCTAAGGTACTCGTATTCGACTCGGGTACTCGTTTTCCACCCTTACCTAAGGCTAATGAGAGGTCATGGCGGGCCCTAAATTTTGTCGTTGGGTTGTTGTCGAGTGGGTTGTGTTTTGGTACACAAACTCCAATGTGGTCCCTGCAAGTTCCCAACCCTGTTTCCTTCGCGCACTACTGGCAGGGGGAACACCTCGTCACTCTGCGCAGGGGTTGGGGCAAATATTTGTTGCCTCCCACGCCCAACCACAAACCCGGTAACCATCCAGAGGCAAGTGATAAACCTTTGCCTCGTCATGCGTGGTCTCGCAAATCGTGCGAACATTTCTTTCCGGAAAAACGCTTGGCCGGAAACATGTGCCACACCTTGAGGGTGACATTGGAGATGTTGCCAGGATTTACCGTCCATTGGGGGAAAAGTGGGTGTAAAACACAAAACATTCCGTTGCCGGGACTTGAACCCGGGTCTCTCGGGTGAGAGCCGAGTATCCTAACCGACTAGACTACAACGGATGTTAGTTTTGTTCGTCGCAGAAAACTTGACTATTTGTTCGTTTGCAATTCTGCCGCTCATGATAACGTTTTCCCATGCGGTAGTGATGACGTCGTCTCTCTCCGTCGCCCTGCACGGGGGCGGTCGCGTGCTCAGCATTCAGTCACATACCGTCCAGGTATCCGTCGCAGGCAGTCGTACACCGTCCAGGTATCCTTCGCATTCCGTCGCAGACCGTGTAGGTCACCATTCACCTGCTCGCGGTCCAGATAGCATGTACTCACGCAGATGACAGGTAAGCGAACGATACCGGCATCGTTACGCTACCCCGGCGTAGGAAATGCAAGGCAGCGTTTTTACGTTACGTAGGGTAATCTATGGTAGCCAATGCAACCGCCGGTGGCCGAGAGTCCCCCTCAAGTGTCTCTTGGGTTGCCCTCTCAGGTGTCCTCTCAGGTGTCTCTCAGGTGTCTCTCAGGTGCCCATCTCAGGTGTCCATCTCGGGTGCCCCTTTCAGGTGCCTCTCTCAGGTGTTCCTCAGGCGCCCACCTCAGGTGTCTCTCAGGTGCCCCGCTCAGGTGTTTCTCAGGCGCCCATCTCAGGTGTCTCTCAGGCGCGCCTCTCAGGTATTTTCTCAGGGGTCCCTCTCAGGCTTCCCTCAGGTGTCCCCTTCAGGTGTCCCTCTCAGGTGTCTCTCAGGTTCCCCTCTCAGGTGCCCATCCCAGGTGTCTCTCCGGTATCTCTCAGGTGCTTTGTACAATCATACGAGGTCTGATATGAATCCCGGAGTGTCTCGTCTCGGTCGCAGAGGTGAACCAGCAGACTTTTGAGTCGACTCAAACGTCAACTCAGGTGCTCAGTACGATCATACGAAGTCTAGTATGAAGCCCGGAGTGTCTCGGTCACATAGGTCAACCAGCTTGGGCTCATGCGAACGTGCGTGTGATGGCCGGCGTCTGCATTGAGTGTGTGAGTGTATGTATATACGTGCATACATGTACATAGATATACATTTATATATCTATGTGTGTTTAAACCCTGACAAATTGCTTCGTACCCGGTCCATGCGCCAGAACTATGCTGGTGGTCAACAAGGTGGACGTGTTCCCCTGGCAGCTGCTGGGATGCGAATGGCATGCTTACCATTCAAGGGCGCCTGTATGTGGGATGCTGTGCCCCATGTTCGTGCTCCGGAATTCTTGAGAGAAACCCCAATGTATGTGGGCAACAGCAAGGTGTCGCATTCCCCCCTGCAGCTGCGCTGATCCGAAGGGCGTGCTCATGGCCCAACAGAAACCCTAAAAGAAATCCTGAGAGAAACCCTAAACCCAGTGTACCCCTGTTGGCTGCCCATGCGGCAGGGCTATGTGGGCAACAAGGCGGCCGTGTTTCCCCTGCAGCTGCAGGGCTTCGAATGGCGTGCTCATATGATCCAAAAGGAACCCTGAGAGAAACCCTGAGATAAACCCTGCGAGATTCCCCTTGGTACCCTGTGTTGGTGTGGCAGGGCTATGTGGGCAACAAGGCGGCCGTGTTTCCCCTGCAGCTGCTGGGCTTCGAATGGCGTGCTCATATGATCCAAAAGGAACCCTGAGAGAAACCCTGAGATAAACCCTGCGAGATTCCCCTTGGTACCCTGTGTTGGTGTGGCAGGGCTATGTGGGCAACAAGGCGGCCGTGTTCCCCCTGCAGCTGCTGGGCTTCGATGTGGATCCCATTAACTCCGTGCAGCTCTCCAACCACACTGGTGAGTAGTGTGGTAACCACACTTGTGCGCGCACTGGTGCATGCGGTAACTGCACACTGGTGAGAGTGGTAGGGTAACCCCTTCTCACGCTGCAGGCAGCTGCTGGGCTTCGATGTGGACCCCATCAACTCCGTGCAGCTCTCCAACCACACTGGTACGATGGTGTTGGATACCTGGTAACCGCACTGGTGCGATGCTGCTGGTTACCTGGTAACCACACTGGTGAGAGTGGTAAGCTCTCCCCACCCTGCTGGGCTTCGATGTGGCCCAAATCTCTCCAACCACACTGGTGCGAGCGAATGCTGGTAACCGCACTGGTATGTGTAGTGGTAACCACACTGGTGCAAATGTTGGCAACTGCACTGGTGCAGGACGGTCACTTGTCCATCCCATCTGTGTGCCTGCTGTCCCAGAGTCCGTCCCACCTCACCTCACCACCTTACCACACACCCCATGCCTCCCATGCGTGCTGCTGTTGCAGGGTACCCCACGTGGAAGGGGCAGATTCTGGACGGGGAGCAGCTGTGGGCGCTGATAGAGGGCCTGGAGGCCAATGGGCTGCTCTACTACACGCACCTGCTCACTGGTGTGTGCCCCTGCTGTGCATGCTCGCTCATTGTAAGGTGGTGTGTGTGTTGACGGTGCGGTGGCATGTGTGCACACCTGCACTGATAGAGGGCCTGGAGGCCAATGGGCTGCTCTTCTACACGCACCTGCTCACTGGTGGGTGTGTGTTGAAACGGGCATGCACGTTGAAAGGGACGTGTGTGTCAATGTTTATCATCCCACACCCACATACAGAAGCATTTCTCCCTCCCCCTTCGCACTACGTTCCATCGGATCCTCCTCGTTGCTCTCACCACCTTCCTCCCTCGCCTTCCTCATTCTCTTCCTCTCCCTCTCCCCCCTCTCCCCATCGATTTTCTCTCTTCCTCCCCTCTTTCTCGCCCCCCCCACAGGCTACATCGTTTCGCTCTCCTTCCTGGAAACTGTCGTGAGGGTCGTCGAGAAGCTCAGATGAGGCAACCCTAATCTGACACTGATGCGTCGAACACCACCCGCCCTCACGTCTCAATCACTGTTGCAAAGTCAACCTCTCTCTTCCTCTCTCCTCCCTCTTCCCTCCCACCAGGCTACATTGGGTCGCTCTCCTTCCTGGAAACTGTCCTGCGGGTGGTGGAGAAACTCAGATCAGTCAACCCCAACCTAATATATGGTACTTACTTTCTGGGTTAGCCCTGACTTAAAATACCATACTTAACCAGTTATCCCTTACCTGATATTGGTACTTCATGGGTTAACCCTAACGTGATAAACAGTAGTAGTGATGAGCAACGAACCGAACAAGAGTGGTTCACTTTGTTCACGCTCCAAACCTGAATTGATTCGACCCGAAACCGAACTGGGGTTCTGGTCAAACCGTTGCATGAGCATGCCCAGTTCAATTCAAACCAGTTCTGGTTTGGTTAGACCATAGCTAGAGAAGAGATGAAACCTAGTCGAACCAATTCGCCTCGAAACAGCAGGGAGAAACACAAAGAAACCATTTGGTTCATGGCAAACCGGTTGGCCTCGAACCGAACCGCGGTTCAGATTTCTGGGCATGGCCTGCTGCCTGTTCCCCACTCTCCTCCCCTTCCTCACTCCACCCCTCTCCATCCCCCCCTTCCCCTTGCAGTGTGCGATCCAGTGATGGGGAACAACCGCGGCCTCTACATCGCTTCTTCTCTTTGCCACCTCTACCTCCTACCTGCCTTCCCTCCCACCTCGCCCCCGACCCTCCTTAATCTTGCTCCCGTCTTTCCCCAACCTCTCCTCCCCACCCTCCCATGCCCTCCCTCCGCTCTGTGTGCGATCCAGATATGTGGAGCCAATGACAGCCTTTATATTCTTGCTTCTCCTTTTCACCTCCAAACCCCACCTCTCCATACTCTTCCCTTCCCCTCCCCCCCATGCCTAACCTCCCCCCACAGTGTGTGATCCAGTGATGGGAGACTGATGGCCGTTTCAGGCTCCTCAAGTAAGGCCTGCTGCCTTGCCTTGGCCCCCCTTTTCCCCCCCACCTCTCTCTCCCCCCCCGATCTCTCCCCCACATCTCTCTCCCCCCTCCCCGCACAGTGTTTGATCCATTGATGGGAGACTGATAGCCGTTTCAGGCTCCTCAAGTAAGGCCTGCTGCCCCCTCTCTTCCCCCAACCCCCCTTCCCCCCATGGCTCCCCTCCCCTCGCACTCGCAGTGTGTGACCCAGTGATGGGGGATGATGGCCGTCTCTACATTCGCCCTGAGCTCGTCCCAATCTACCGCTACCAGGTGCCACCTGCATACCTGGCCTATTCGTGCTGCAAGGGTGTTATGAGAGCCTACCATAGTAGGTGCCATCTGCTGCCACCAGGTGCCACCTTCACATATGACATGTCCCTCTGAGAGTCACATTCACATTCAGGTGTCCTCTCACGTGCCGTAGGTTCAGACAATTCTCACGTGCGCCACCTACGCATGTGACCTGTCCCTCCAACCAAGAGCACAAAACAACTCGCCACCTGCGTGCGCCGCATTTCGTTTCCTTCAACGCTCCAGAAGACAAGTCAGCCCCTCCCTCTCCTGCAACTTCCGACCAATGAACACCAGGCTTTCTAGTCAAGGCAGCTGAAACTCCAGCCTTGGATTTTCCCGCATCTCGCAGCTATTAGCATCTGGCGGGTGCTTGGAATTCAGGGCATGACGTCTCTTGACCTCCCAGGTTCATGATTAGCTTTTTACAAGAATTTAATGCGTTTTTTTTCTTTTTTTTTTTTACCAAACAGACCGTATTCACAGCATGATGTTTTGACCTTCCTGGCTCAAGAGTTTTCCAGAAACATGCTCTCCTAACTTTGTAAGTTCGGCATATCTTGCTGAGCAAGATATGCCGAACTTAGCAAAATATGCCGCAAGAATTAGGTGTTTTTGGTCCACTGGATGGTAGGTAGTGCCTGTGGCGTGTTCATCTACCTAATCCTTGATGTCATGTCTTAATCTCCCAATCTCTAATCTCCAATTTCCTAATCTCCTAATCTTCTAATCTCTAATCCCCTGATTTCCTTTTATATGATGTTCTGGTCTCCTGCTCACACAGGTGGTGCCAGTGGCAACTCTCATCACGCCAAACCAATTCGAAGCAGAGCAGCTCACAGGCCTCAGGTGAGTCCCTCAGGTGAGTCCCTCAGGTGAGTCCCTCAGGTGAGTCCCGCAGTGAGTCCCGCAGTGAGTCCCTTTGAAGCACGCCTCAGGTAAATCACTTGGAGTGAAGCCTTAGCGTGTTCCTCTGGTTGCCTTATTCTTCTCAGCTTTCAGCTCTCTGTTTTCTTCTCAAACTGTACCTACCCCTCAGCGTGACGAGTATTCCATTTCGTTGCTCCCCTCCATGCTCATCTCTCTCTCGTCTCTCACGCGCATCTGTTGTTTTGTCCTTTTCCCGCCGTCACCCCTATTCAATCACAGAATGCATCTGGTGCCCAGCATTCAATCTCAATCAGACACAATCTTCTGCATATGACATGCTTTTAGACAAATAAATATGTATACGTATAAAAAGTGCAGATCATGTTTTGAAAAGACTTGCCATCACTGCATATGACGTGCTGCATGCAGTGTGTGACAGTCGGTGAAGTGACTTAAATGAAGGTACTCCTTGCTTCTCTCCCCTCCTACCTCACTCCATGGAAGCTTTTGAATTCCAGGAGCGCTAGTGTTTTTACTGTGTGTGACATGCGGCTCACTGCTGGGTCCAGGAACGCTAATGTGTTCGGCCACAGAAAGGCGAGATGGGTAGAGCCACTGATGCAGATACTGCCTGACCGCGCACCCTCTCTCCCCTCCGCCTTAGGTGACTTTTGAGTCGACTCAAAAGTCGCTTCCTGACCGCGCACCCTCTCTCCCCTCCGCCCTCCCTCCCTCCCTCCCTCCCTCCCTTCCTCCCTCCCTCCCCCCCTCGCTCCCTCTCTCCCTCCATCCCTCCCCCCCTCCCTCCCTCCCTCCCTCCCTCCCTCCCTCCCTCCCTCATTCCCTCCCTCCCTCCCTCCCTCCCTCCCTCCCTCCCTCCCTCCCTCCCTCCCTCCCTCCCTCCCTCCCTCCCTCCCTCCCTCCCTCCCTCCCTTCCTCCCTCCCTCCCCCCCTCGCTCCCTCTCTCCCTCTCTCCCTTCCCCCCTCTTCCATCCCTCCCTCCCAGCATACGAACTCAATCAGACGCCGTCACAGCATGTGACATGCTGCACGCTGCTGGGCCCAGGAAGGCAAGTCATGCATGATGCATGGTCTAGGGGGCAAAGGAAAGGTATGGCTTTCCATGGGTATGTAAGTCTGTGCGCGCACTAAGCTATGCAGGGGGCTCTTGACATGTCTCCACACGAGTGTGACTCACGTATACGTATGATGCTGAATTTGCATGCTACTGCACGCAGCAAGGCAGGGCCAGAATGGTATGACGGAGGAAGGTATGACGTAGGGTATTTTATCTGCTCAACCGCTCTCAACCGCTTTTATTCCCTTTAACCACTGTTAGCACCCCCCAACATTCCCATCAGGTGGTGATCACAAGCATGGAGGTGGATGGCCGGCTGGATGTGATGGAGGGGAGTGGCCCTTGATAGGCAACGCAACGCCTCTCTTAACCGCACTCCACTGCTTTCAACCACTCCCATCAGGTGGTGATCACGAGCATGGAGGTGGACGGGCAGCTGCTGGTGGTGGGCAGTGACGCCAGCAGCCCTGCTGCAAAGCAGGTGAGAGGTGAACAGCAGATGGTTGAGAGGCCATGGGGGTGTCGGGCTGGTGGTTGCGGTGAGTATTGAGATGACTCCTCTACATGCTTCTTGCCCTGGTAGTGGGCAGTGACGCCAGTAGCCCTGCTGCGGAGCAGGTGAGTCAGGTGAGGCGGCATGGGAAATGCCGGACTTGTTATTGATTTGTGTTTTGAGGCAATTCAGAACACACTTGGACTGGACATGCTGCTGCTGCTGCTGCTGGTGCGGTGCTGCAGAGGAGGTGCGTGAGGCGGCACGGCAGCAAGAGATGGTTCAGAGTGAGAGGAGGTGGGGAGGCTGCATGGGGAGGGTTTTACACGACAGGGTGGCTGGCATGTGAGGCAACTCCCTTTTTAGTCAGCGTTGGCAGGCCATTGACAGTCACCTCGTTGGCAGGCCAGCGGTGAGCCCCTTGTCCTCCTTGCCTTGGGAGACAGATGTCTGTTTTGCTGTCCCCCTGCGTGCCCGCAGCACGTCACCCGCCTGCCTGCATGCGTGCATCTTCTCCTCTCCCTTTCTCCCATTCTTTTCCCACTCTCCATTCAATTTCTGTCACTCATTAGCCCCTCTGTTTGCACCTGTCCTTGCCGCGCTGGCATACACTACTCTGTCTCCCGCTCTTCAATCCTCAAACATATTTCAGGAGGGGTCCGGATCATCTGGATCACATTCCTTGCGGCGCTTCTGCATAGCAGTGCCCAAGATACCCGAGTACTTCACTGTAGGGCACCCCGCCTCACACTTTCCTTCTCACCCTCTCCTTCTCAAAGTATCGGACTAATGCTATCTTTATTGGAAGAAGGTATATTTCGAGTCGACACAAAATACGCCGTGCCCAAGATACCAGAGCACTTCACTGAGTGGCACTCCCCTCCTTCTCTCACTCCCTGACGTAAGTTATATGTAATAACTTTCAGACGTCTCAAAAGTCACTGAATGGCCCTCCACTCTCCTTCTCCCAATCTCCCTGACCTGAAGGGCTCCCTGACGTTAGTTATATGTAATATGTATTCTTAATCGTAACATGTAAGAAGGTCTTCGGTTGATGCAGAATACTCAGCGCCCCCAGAGTAAAATCATGGGTGCCTCTGGTGCTTGGGCGACCAAAGTAGAAGTCTTGAGTGCCTACCTGGGGACTCTGGTTGGTGACCAACCCGACGGTTAATGTTAAACACACTCTCCCTCTCACTCTTTAACACTGCTAGCTTGTTGCGAAGTTGTGCTAAGCCATGAGTGAGAGGAACAGCGGCTATCCCTAGGTGTAACCAAGCAATTTTGTCTCTAAGCACCTACATTTTCATGAATGATCCGTTTACCATGTGGTTACCATGATTACCACGTGCGTATCATGTGGTTACCATGTCGATTTTAGGTGTATCATCACCAGTAGCTTCGAAGAGCACACGGCACATGGTTATGCAATCTCTCTCACACTTTCCATGCCTCTTGTCATGTCCCGTCTCACAGATCACCTGCCTTACACAGCATGCCATTTCACATGCATTTGACATGCCATCCCGCATTCAATTCCCCATGTCATCCCACATGCTATTCCACATGGCACATGATACCACCAGCAATCCCACATCACATGCTGTTTGTCCTGTCATGCTACATGCATTCGACATGCCATATCACATGCGATCTCACATGCCCTTCAAATGCCATACCTCAGGCCATTTGACATACCATGTCACACGTGCCTTACATCGACCATCCCCCATACCATCCCCCATATCATCCCCCAAACCACCTCCCATACCATCCCCCATATCATCCCCCAAACCACCTCCCATACCATCCCCCATACCATTTCCCATGCCATCCCACATGCCATCCCCCAACGCCATCTCCCCATGCCATCCCAAATGAACGGCTCACATGCAGGGAACAGGAGATTTGATGACTGCATTGCTGCTTGGATGGTCACATGTGAGTCAGGCAGTCACATGTGAGTCAGGCAGTCACATGTGAGTCAGGCACAGTTGCATGGCAGGCATCCCTTTGCATCTCAATCCTTCATCAGTCCTTTGGTTACATCTCACAGTACTGGTTACATCTCGAAGTGCTGATTACTTCTCACAGTGCTGGTTACATCTCAGTCCGCTGTCTCAATTTGCTGCTCATTCTCCCTGCTCCTCTCCTTTCATTCTCTCCCTCACAGACTTTCTCCTTCCCTCCCTCCCTCCCTCCCTCCCTGCCTCCCTCCCTCCCTCCCTCCCTCCCTCCCTGCCTCCCTCCCTCCCTCCCTCCCTCCCTCCCTCCCTGCCTCCCTCCCTCCCTCCCTCCCTCCCTCCCTCCCTCCCTCCCTTCCTCCCTCCCTCCCTCCCTCTCTCCCTCCCTCTCTCTCAACAGAAGTATCCGCACGACTTGGCTAGAGCAGCAGAGCTGGCAGTGGCATCCCTACAGGTGAGCAACTGCTGTTGCGCCTCGTGCTACTGCTTGTTGCTGCTCTGCTGTGTTTTCAATGTTCGTCTAGCTTTTCTGTTGCAGCAGCAGAGCAGCAGCAGTGGCATCCCTACAGTTGAGCAGCTGCTGCTGGGCCTGGTGCTATTGTCTGCTGCCGCTCTGCCATGCTTTGAGCCAAGCCATATCAGCAGAGCTGGCATTGGCAACCCGTGGCAGTGCAACCTTCCTGACCTGATTGCTCCTCTCCTCCCATTCTTTCTCCCTACAGGCTGTGCTCGCACGAACCTTGCAGCACCACTCTCCACCTCTGGACGGCACCGATTCCTCTCTCGCACCCCCCACCGCCAAGCGTCTGGAGCTCTGCCTTGTTCAGAGCCGCGATAACATCAGCCTTCTAATTCCACTCCTCTCCTCTTCTTCCTCTCCACTCCCTCCCCACAAGACGTGCTTACTTGCACCCCTGCATAACACCCACTCTTCTCAACTTTCTAAATCCACATTCCCTGCCCAAACTCCCCTCTCACAGGCTGTGCTCGCACGAACCTTGCAGCACCGCTCTCCACCTCTGGACGGCACCGAGTCCTCTCCCACTCCCCCCATTCCCAAGCGCCTGGAGCTCTGCCTCGTTCAGAGCCGCGATGACATTATAAACCCGCCTGTTGTGTTACGTGCACAAGCGGTTGAAAGCGGTGTAGATGGTTTAGATGGATTGCAAGATGGTGAAAGTGCCTTGGTGAGCGGTGACGGTGTAGGGGTGCTGCAGGATGAGGGAGTTGATGCTCAGCTGACAACTGAGAGCTGAGTTGAATAAAATATGGAAAGAGAATGTACTGTAAAAAGAGAACGTAGTTGATGCTCAGCTGACAACTGAGAGCTGAGTTGAATAAAATATGGGAAGAGAATGTACTGTAAAAAGAGAACGTAGTTGATGCTCAGCTGACAACTGAGAGCTGAGTTGAATGTACTGTAAAAAGAGAACGCTCAACTGTTTTGGCCGGGTCAGGCACTTTCCTGAGCACAATAACGGTAAATAAAAAGGACCAGGCAAGTATCGAACCCGCTAGGTGTTATACTTTATCGTTATGATTGAGAGAGTTATGCTACTGGTCCTGCTTGTGTATGAGTTTGTGTTTATTATGACACTTTGCCGTTAAGTGATTCAAGATTGGCCGCACTGAGCTCTCTCGTCAAGCATCATGGAGGACGCAGAGCCGCTGCGCGCGCTCTCCGCCCACATCGCGTAAAAACGGACCAGGCGGGTATTGCCCTTACTTAGATAGTTTCCCTCAGCTTTCCGCTCTATCGCCGCGTTCCTTCCGTCCCTAGTCCCTCCCCGCGCTGCGCGCGCTCTCCGTCCACAGCGCGTGACGCGGGCCGTACTTGTCTCCCGCCGAGTAGCCATGGAGGACGCAGAGGCGCGCCGCTCTCGCCTGCGCGGCATGCGCGAATCCGCGGTGAAGCAGCAGGCGTCCCTCGGCGCGCCCACGCCTTCCGCCGCCGTCTCCGCGCGCTCCCCTCCCCCGACTTCTCCCCCGCCGTTCATCCGCACGCATCCGCGCCTGCGCCATCCGGGGATGGCGGACCTGGGGGAGGTAGATCTGCTAGACGGCCAGCAGGGGCAACAACAGCAGGCTCGGGGGGATCCGATAGAGGAGGTGGAGCTATCCGGTGGGCTCAGTGTGGTCCACTGTCGCCCACTGGGGTTCGTCACTGCGCTCTGGCTTCCTCCCACCACCACAAGTGACCACCGTCGAACCTACCTTGTAGCTTTGTGTGTATTCAGCATTCGCCCTTGCGTCCGTCCCTTGGTTCACAACCCTGCTCCTCTTGCTCTTCGTCTCCCGCCTCCTCCCCTCTCCACTCTCCCATCCTCCCCTCTCCACTCTTCCCTCCTCTCCATTCTCCTCCATCTCCTCTTTCCCCGCCTCTCCTGACTCAGCTGGGCCTGAGGGTGCCTTTGAATAGGGTGCTGATGGGTGCTGGTAGGAAGAGTGCTGGTAGGGTGAGTGCTGAAAGGGTGGGTGCTGAAAGGGTGGGTGCTGATAGGGTGGGTGCTGAAAGGGTGGGTGCTGATAGGGTGGGTGCTGAAAGGGTGGGTGCTGATAGGGTGGGTGCTGATAGGGTGGGTGCTGATAGGGTGGGTGCTGATAGGGTGGGTGCTGATAGGGTGGGTGCTGATAGGGTGGGTGCTGATAGGGTGGGTGCTGATAGGGTGGGTGCTGATAGGGTGGGTGCTGATAGGGTGGGTGCTGATAGGGTGGGTGCTGATGAGGTTGGTTCAAAATGTTTTTTTTTACCCACAATGATCGGGAGGACATAATGGAAAGGGGAGGACGGACGGGTAAGCTCGATTTCTGCGACTTCGTAATACGCACTGGCAGTTTCTATGCAATTTACGTACACACATACGGCCAGGGTGGTTGGTGTGTCCATCATCCATTTTCCACCGTATGATTTATCTACCCTTCTTCCACTCCGGAAGCGGTTGCAGTTGGCACGGTTGCTGTGCCACCCCCAGTACCATATCTCCTCAGTTTGTCCCCCCAAACCTTAACAGGTTTTCCCGCACTTGCTGCAATTTCCCATTTGATCAGCTGGGATTTGTCCACCTTCCTTTGAGTCGACTAAAAATTATTGAGGCGACAAAAAATCCCAACCGCTCCCAGGTTTTTCCGCACTCGCTGCAATTTCCCAGTTGACCGGTTGCGACTTGGCCACCCCCCTCAAGTCATGTAACTACTGTTAGAAATAGGTTGTCAACACATTGTGTACTCTATTTTATATGGTTTAGGTTATTTGCGGGTTGGGTGTAGATTTGTAATCCCAACCCTATCTAGTTGGGATTCCCTCGTAATCCTGCAAATCTGCCAACTCACCAATTGGAGATTTGCTAGGATTCCCATCCCATCCTTTCCCTAGCTTTGCTTAACCCAACCTTCTTTGTACCGTATTCCCCCGGACATACCACCCTAGGGTGCTATGATAACTATAACAAAAAAAGGGGGGGGGGGGGTCTTGTCATAGGAAAAAGCTACATTACACCCGGGTCTTTTCATACGGTATTTTTTAGAGTAAGGATTTTGATGCAAAGACAAGTTGGGTGTTTTTAGAATTGGTTTAACATCACAGTTAGAAGCGAGAATGTGGGTTTTGGCGAGAACCTTTTCACCCCCCTTGAAATTGCCAGGTGGCACCTTTTTCGCCACTTGTTAGCGAACTATCTACCAGCGTGGCAGCAGCGTAAAAGAGGGAGGGGGGTGGTTTTGGCAGATTCTTCCGAAATTACCATGTAGTTTCATCGAGGAAGTAATTTCCGCGATGTTCAGCAGTACTCGCTAACAGCTATAATTAGAAACTTTGTAAGAAAGGGGGGTGTTATGTAAAATCACCCCAAAAGGGGGGTATAGTAGAAACGAGGCCCGCTATAGCACCCCCCCCGCACAAGCCACCCGGGGGGTGCTCTATTTCGGCGGGTGGTATGTCCGGGGGAATACGGTACTTAAGCCCTAGTGCATTCTTGATCAATCAATCAGTTCAGCTCCAATTCTATCAACTACATTTGTTTAACAAGGAGGGGAGAACAAAAGAAATATCTTCCCCACACTGGCAGCGGCAGTGACAAATTCACCTTCTCGCCTCCCTCATTGCTTTTGCTCTCCCAACTCTCCCCCCTACTGTCAGTAGAGCTGCACTGTGAGATCAACGAATGATCCTAGGGGGGTTACAGGCATGTTAGCCTGGGGGGTTATGGGCACACTGACCTGCTATTGAAACAAGCCCTTTTATCCCAATGGTCTAGTGGTTGGGATTCTGACATGGTATCAGAGCGGTCTCGGGTTCGAATCCCGGTGTATATGTCAGAACATATTTATAGCTTATGCTGTTGTGTAGGCTATAGTGGGGTATCCCATAGGGGGTACAACCCAATTAGGGTTTCCTATATGTACTCACTTCATTCATAGTTCATTCATTCTTGTTCAAATCTTCTCATGGTATCGAGCAGGTTCCCCCTTGGGAACTGTGCTTAGGGCCCACCACATCGTTTTTTTTTTTTTTTTTTTTTCCTGCCCGAAGCGCGCTCAGCCCGAGTCGCGCTCCGGGCCCTTCACTGCGGCCCCGCCACTCATCTCAGCGGCCCCGCCGCCCGTCTTCGCGGCCCCGCCGCCTCTCTCCTAGCGGCCCCGCCGCCCTACCTAGCGGCCCCGCCGCCCTACCTCGCGGCCTCGCCGCCCTATTGCGCGGCCCCGCCGCCCTACCTCGCGGCCCCGCCGCCCCATCGTGAGGCCCCGCCGCCCTACCTAGCGGCCCCGCCGCCCTTCCTCGCGGTCCCGCCGCCCCATCGCGCGGCCCCGCCGCCCTACCTAGCGGCCCTGCCGCCCTTTCTCGCGGCCCCGCCGCCCCATCGCGCGGCCCCGCCGCCCTTCCTCTTGGCCCCGCTGCCCTATCTCGCGGCCCCGCCGCCCTACCCAGCGGCCCCGCCGCCCTTCTGCAGCGACCCCGCCGCTCCTCTACAGCGGCCGAGCCGCCCAGCAGCAGCGCAGCCGAGCCGCCCAGCAGCAGAGCAGCCGAGCCGCCCCGCCGCCGAGCCGCGCTGCAGCCGAGCCGCCCGGCCGCCCACCAGCCGAGCCGCCGTGCAGCCGACCGCCCAGCCGCCGAGCCGCCCAGCCGTCGAGCCGCCCTGCAGCCGAGCCGCCCGGGAGCCGAGCCGCCGAGCCGCCCTGCCGCCGAGCCGCCCGGGAGCCGAGCCGCCCAGCAGCCGAGCCGCCGAGCCGCCCAGCTGCCGGGCCGCCCTACTACCGAGCCGCCCGACCTGCCCTGCCTGGTGAGCACAGCACCACTGTTACTGCGTGCCCTTCCCCTACTGCTTGCACTGCTACACTGTCGTCGTCATGGCTACCCCTAGTGTCCTCGCTTTTGACGCTGAGGGTCGAGCCATTGACTTTGAGGTCTGGGTCGACGACCTGCAGCTGTTCTTACAGTGCGATAGGACGGACGGTCTTTCCCTCTTTGACCTTACCTCTGGCGCCTCTCCTGCCCCTGCTGCTGATGCTGACCCCACTGTTCGCTCTCAGTGGGCCACCCGCGATGCTGCTGCATGCCTTGCTGTGCGTCGCCACCTGCCTACCACTGAGCGCGCGCACTTTAGTCAGTACAAGAGTGCTCAGACCTTGTACGACGCTGTAGTTGCGCGCTACTCTTCCCCTGCCACTGCTGCCCTGAGCCGCCTCATGCTACCATACCTCTTTCCTGACCTTGCTGCCTTTCCCACTGTCGCTGACCTCATTACGCACCTCCGCACTAGTGACACTCGCTACCGCGCCGCCCTTCCTGCTGAGTTCTGCGCCAAGAACCCCCCCCCCATGTACATCACTCTCTATTACATAGTCACACGCCTCCCTGACTCCCTTCGCGTAGTCAGGGACCACTTCCTCTCAGTCTGTCCCACCACTCTCACTGTCGACCTCCTCGAGAAGTCCCTCCTGGCGGCGGAGAAGAGCATCGTCGCTGTAGGAGCCTCTCGTGGTGACCCTCGCACCCCCATCTTTGAGGGGTGTTCTCCTTCCCCCCTGCTGCCCTCTGTTGCCTCTGCTGCTGCTGCCGACCTGCTTGGTCTTGAGTCGGTCTGCGCGGCGTCTGCCCCTAGCGGGAGATGCCGCCCTGGCAGGGGCAAGGGGGGCAAGGGCGCGGGTGGACCTGGCGGGGGCGGTGGAGGTGGCGGTGGAGGCGGCGGAGGGAGTGGGGGTGGCGGTGGGAGTGGTGGCGGGGGCGGTGGTGGCGGTGGCAGCAGCGGAGGAGGAGGCGGTGGTGGAGGCAGCGGTGGGAGCGGAAGCAGCGGTGGTGGTGGAGGTGGAGGCGGCGGTGGCGGAGGGGGTGGAGCTGGTCGGGGTGGTGCCCCGCAGCGTAGCGGCTCTGGTGGTGGCCAGCGTCAGCAGCAGCAGCAGCAGCAGCAGCAGCGTTCGCGGGACATCCCCCCGCCCCAGCAGCTCCGTGAGTGGTACACGCAGCGTCAGCGGGGTGGGGGTTTTGGTCCGTGCACCTACGTCCTTCGTTCCGGCGACCGCGCGGGTGAGCAGTGTGGGGGTGCCCACCCCACCCAGCGCTGCTTTGGCCGCCTGACGGACGCTTGGCGTCAGCAGTTCCCCGAGGCTAGTGAGATTCCCCGTTGGGGAGAGCTGTCTAGGGCTGGCGTAGCTATCTTTGATCTTGACTTTGATGCTATCCTTGCTGCCATGTATGCTGTGACTACTAGTGAGGAGGGTGACTGTTACCGGTGTTTCCCGCCCGACCCGGGCATTGGTACTGCTGCGCCAGGTACTTCTGCGGCTGCTGCTCTAGGTGCCAGTGCGTCTGCACTCTCAGGTACTGGTGAGGCTGCGCTCTCAGGTACTGCGTCGGCTTCAGCCTCCCTCACCTTCACGCTTGACTCAGGAGCTTCTCGCTCCTTCTTTCGAGACCGCACCACACTCACGCCGCTTGGCCGGCCGGTTGCAGTCTCCCTGGCTGACCCCTCTGGGGGTCCTGTCCTCTCTCACTTCTCCACTGTCCTCCCGTGTCCGGCTGCCCCCTTGGGCACCTTGTCTGGTCTGTACCTCCCCTCGTTCTCGACAAACTTGGTGAGTGGTGCTGACCTGCAGGATGCGGGGGTTCACCAGTTTACTCCTGCGAGTCAGCGGGTGACCCACTGCTCGGACGCCCGCACAGGCCGACACCTGGCCACGTTTTCGCGTCGGCCGGGGTCGAGTCTCTACACCCTGACCACTGAGTCTCCTCCTGTCCCTGCGTCTGGCCAGGTAGCTGCGTCGGGTCAGGTGTTTGCTGCTGCGTCCAGGTCTGGTCCTGAGTCTGCCCCCTGCTCGTGTCGCCGCCTGTCTCAGGAGACTCTCCTGTGGCACCACCGTCTTGGCCACCCCTCCTTGCCTCGTCTTCGGGGCATGGCTTCCCGTGTCCTTGTCTCTGGTCTTCCCCGGTCTCTCCCTCCCCTTCCTTCGGGACCCGGACCTTCCTGTGTCCCCTGTGTCGAGGGGCGGCTCCGGGCTGCCCCTCACTCCTCCCAGTTTCCCCCGACAGAGGCTCCTCTGCAGACGCTTCACATGGACGTGTGGGGCCCGGCCCGCGTCCGTGGGCAGGGTCACGAGCGCTACTTCCTGCTGGTGGTTGACGACTACTCGCGTTACACCACAGTCTTCCCCTTGCGCAGCAAGGGTGATGTCACTGAGGTGTTGATCGACTGGATCCGCGCAGCTCGTCTCCAGCTCAGGAGGAGCTTCGGCTCGGACTTTCCTGTTCTGCGTCTGCACTCTGACCGAGGTGGAGAGTTCTCCTCTGGCCTTCTGCGAGCCTACTGTCGTGCACGAGGCATCCGCCAGACCTTTACGCTTCCGGACTCTCCACAGCAAAATGGGATTGCTGAGCGCCGCATTGGCATGGTCATGGACGTCGCTCGTACGTCCATGATGCATGCGGCTGCCCCCCATTTTCTGTGGCCGTTTGCGGTTCGGTACGCGGCGCATCAGATCAACCTTCACCCCAGGGTCTCCCGGCCGGAGACCTCCCCAGCTCTGCTGTGGACGGGGAAGGTCGGCGATGCGTCTGCGTTCCGTGTCTGGGGATCTCGGGCGTTTGTCCGCGACTTGTCTGCGGACAAGCTGTCCCCTCGTGCTGCTCCCTGTGTCTTCCTCGGCTTCCCCCCTGACGCCCCAGGGTGGCAGTTCTACCACCCCTCCTCTCGTCGTGTTCTGTCCTCCCAGGACGTCACGTTCGACGAGTCAGTCCCCTTCTACCGCCTCTTCCCCTACCGCACTCCTTCCCTCCCCCCGCCACCGCACTTCCTTGTGCCAGGTCCCCCCCCGGTAGACCCCCTTCCCCCTCAGGGTCCTGCCCCTTCAGGTGTGTCCCAGGTAGACGCAGTCGAGCCGGTCGAGGTTGCTGGTGACTCTGGTCCTGCTGCGGGTGCTGAGCCTGGGGGTGCTGACTCTGGGGGTGCTACGCGCGTGGGTGCTGAGCCTGGGGGTGCTGAGCCTGGGGGTGCTGAGTCTGGGGGTGCTGAGCCTGGGGGTACTGCGACTGGGGGTGCTGAGCCTGGGGGTGCGGAGTCTGGGGGTGCTGAGCCTGGGGGTGCTGTGACTGGGGGTGCTGAGCCAGGGGGTGCTGCGTCTGGAGCTACTGAGCCTGGAGCTGCGGAGCCTGCGGCCACTGGACCTCCCCTTGTGGCGTCTGGCGGTGCGGGACCTGGCGGTTCTCCGGGTGCTTCGCCTCGGCGGGAGCCCCTCTCTCCACAGGAGCTGCGCGAGTGGTTTGCTCGCCGCTGGAGACGTACTGCTGGAGCTGGAGCTCCTTCGGCTGCTGAGGGTACTTGTGCCGCTGGTCCCGGAGCTGCTGGGCCCTCGGGTCCGCCTGGAGCTGGAGCTGCTGCGGGTGTTGGTGCTGAGACTGCTGCTGTCCTTCCTGGCGGTGGTCCTGCTGCGGGTGCTGCTGGTGCTGCTGGAGGTACTGGAGCTGGAGGTGCTGTTGGCGCTGGTGCTGCTGCTGAGGGTGTTGTCCCTGCTGTGTCTGGAGTCGCCGCGCGGCCTCGGCCGTACTTCGTTCCACTCCTACAGCAGGTTCTTGGTCTTTCTCCTCCTGCAGCGTGTCCACAGCCTGTTCAGTCACAGTCCCAGTTAGAGCCCGCCTCCCCACTTCCTGCTCCCTCTCCTTACACTGGTCCCACTGGAGGTCTTGCTGAGCGTCGTGAGCCTGCGTCTCGTCCTACGTCGCCTGTTCGTGCTGCTCGCGCTAGTGGTCGCGGTTCGCGTCAGCGTCCTCCTCCTGTCCCTGGCACGCACCGGATGTCTTTGCGTCCGTCCACTGCTCCTCTGCGTGCCCCTTTGCCTTCTCCTCCTGAGTCCTCCCTTCCTTCACTTACCGACCCAGAGTCCGACTCTCTTCGTGCTGCTAGTCCTACTGTCACACGTCTCCTTGTTACTGTCGTCACTGACCCCTCTTTTGAGTCCACTGCTGCGTCTGCTCTTGTTGCTGAGCTCGTCGACTTTGCTGCTAGCTGTCGTCTAGACTACGCTGCCGGTCTTGTTGCTGAGTCTGCGTCTGTCTGTCCTCCGTCCGTCGGGGGTGAGTGTGCTCTTGGCACGGACGTCCTTGAGGACAGACAGGAGGAGTTCCAGTGTCTGGCTGCTGCTTCACCTCATCTCGCGTCCGTACTACTTGCCCCTGAGGGAGACCCGGATGCACTAGACATCCCGACTCCGCGCTCTTACGCGGAGGCCGTAGAGGGTCCCTACTCCTCTCAGTGGCAGGCAGCTATGGATGCAGAGATGGCGTCCTGGAAGTCCACAGGCACCTACGTTGACGCGGTTCCCCCTCCTGGGGCGAACATCGTCAGTGGCATGTGGATCTTCAGGGTGAAGCGGCCGCCGGGCTCTCCACCTGTCTTCAAGGCGCGGTACGTCGCTCGTGGCTTCAGTCAGCGGCAGGGAGTTGACTACTTTCAGACCTTCTCTCCCACCCCGAAGATGACCACTCTTCGGGTGCTGCTGCACATAGCCGCTTAGCGCGACTACGAGCTCCACTCTCTTGACTTCAGCACTGCTTTCTTGCAGGGTAGCCTGCACGAGGAGATCTGGCTGCGCCGTCCACCTGGCTTCACTGGGACTTTCCCTACTGGCACCCAGTGGAGCCTCCGACGGCCAGTCTACGGTCTCCGCCAGGCACCGCGTGAGTGGCACGACACACTGAGGACTACGCTTGCGGCTCTTGGGTTTGCTCCCTCTACGGCTGACCCGTCGTTGTTTCTGCGCACCGACACTTCTTTGCCGCCGTTCTACATCCTCGTGTACGTCGACGACTTGGTCTTTGCCACAGCTGACACTGCTGGACTAGCCTACGTGAAGTCCGAGCTGCAGAAGAGACACACGTGCACAGACCTGGGTGAACTGCGCAGCTACCTTGGCTTGCAGATCACTCGGGACAGAGCACGCCGCACCATTACCTTGACTCAGTCACACATGGTGCAGCAGGTCCTTCAGCGCTTCGGCTTCACGTACTCCTCGCCTCAGGCCACTCCTCTGTCTACTCGCCACTCGCTCTCAGCTCTGCCTTCGGATGAGTCCGTAGAGTCGAGTGGCCCGTACCCAGAGCTTGTTGGCTGCCTCATGTACCTGATGACCTGCACACGACCTGACCTTGCATACCCTCTTAGCATTCTTGCACGCTATGTTGCTCCTGGGAGACACCGACCAGAGCACATGGCTGCAGCGAAGAGGGTGTTGCGCTACTTGTGCAGTACGTCGGGCATGGGGCTAGTGCTTGGAGGGCGGAGTCCAGTGGTCCTCACTGGGCACGCGGACGCTTCTTGGGCTGACGACCAGGCTACGCAGCGGTCGTCGCAGGGTTACACCTTCAGTCTTGGTTCCGGCTCTGTCTCGTGGCGGGCTACTCGCTCGTCCTCTGTTCTCGGCTCCAGTTGTGAGGCTGAGATCTACGCCGGGGCCATGGCTGCACAGGAGCTTCGTTGGCTCACCTACCTGCTGACTGACCTTGGAGAGCCGCCTCGTTCTCCTCCAGTGCTGTACGTAGATAACAAGGCCATGCTGGCCTTGTGTCGAGAGCAGCGCTTGGAGCACAGAACGAAGCACATTGCTCTCCGTTACTTTCTTGCTCGTGAGCTGCAGCAGCGTGGTCAGTTGCGACTTGCGTACGTGGCCTCTGAGGCCAACACTGCTGATGTGTTCACGAAGGCACTTGCGCCTTGTGACCATCAGCGCTTCTGCACTCAGCTGGGTCTTGTACCTGTCTTGCCTCACTTGCTCTCCTCTTGACCTTGCTTGTACTGTCACATATATATACCTGCTCTTGCTTGTCTAGCTCTATATATATATGTGCACTCCTGCATGTGAACTGGCCTTGTGGCCTTGTCGTTGTGCTCGGACTGTGTGGTGACTTTGTGATCCACCCTGAGCTTGCTGTGCTTTGCATGACTGGTCTTGTGACCCCTTGTTCTCCCCCACTTTGCCTATGGGGGTGTGTCAGAACATATTTATAGCTTATGCTGTTGTGTAGGCTATAGTGGGGTATCCCATAGGGGGTACAACCCAATTAGGGTTTCCTATATGTACTCACTTCATTCATAGTTCATTCATTCTTGTTCAAATCTTCTCAGTATACACATGCGGGCCGTTGCCGCTGCGCTCAGTCCTGAACCTCCCAGTGTGGGGGGTGTCAATAGAGCTGCACTGTGAGATCCCCGAATGATCCTAGGGGGGTTACAGGCATGTTAGCCTAGGGGGTTATGGGCACACTGACCCGCTACTGAAAGAAGCCCTTTTATCCCAATGGTCTAGTGGTTGGGATTCTGACACCTCCCTCATCTCAGTAATCGCAGGGAGCGCCACTCTGTGAGTGCTGCTTTGACTTGTGACCTCTCGCACTCTCTCTCGCTCAAAGCTGCCACGTCCCACCAGTATATTACCACCCCATCCAACGTGTTTGTGTGTGCAAACTCACATATTCGCACTCAAACACGCACCCACCCACACACACACATAGACGAGCATGTGCGTACATGCACGCATTCACACACACACACACACACACACACACAGACACACACACACACACGCACATACACACACACATACACACACACACACACACACACACACACACACGCACGCACGCGCGCGCGCACACACACACAGATACACGTGTGCAAAAACACACACACGCGGCCCAATGCTTCACTAGAGAAAAACATGCAACAATTTTCACTCAAGCACTGTACCTATCCTATCCGTCCATCTCTCCATCCACTCATCAACCCCCAATTCCCATCCGTCCATTTCCCCATCTCTGAGCCCCCCCAGGCTCGCCTCTGCAGCGTGGCTGTACACGCGAGTGAGTCACAGCGCACACCATCACTCCACTACTCACCACCCACTCCACTCCTCACCACCCACCCCACTCTTCACCACCCACTCCACTCCTCACCACCCACTCCACTCCTCTCCACCCACTCCACTCCTCACCACCCACTCCACTCCTCTCCACCCACTCCACTACTCACCACCCACTCCACTCCTCTCCACCCACTCCACTCATCTCCACCCACTCCACTTCTCTCCACCCAATCCATGATTCACCACCCACTCCACTCCTCTCCACCCACTCCACTCCTCTCGACCCACTCCACTCCTCTCCACCTACTCCACTCCTCTCCACCCACTCCACTCCTCTCCACCACTCACTACCGTCTCAAGCTCCTCCACTGCCTCCTCCTGCGTGGCGGGGTTCTTCTTGTGGCTGTACACACGAGTCGCAGAGCACACCACCGCTCTCCCCCACCTCTCTCTCCCACCTCTATCCCCCACCTCTCTCCCCCACCTTTCCCCCCCCCCCCCCCCCTCTCCCCCCCACCTCTCTCTTCCCCCCCACCCCCCCCCCCCCCCACCTCTCCCACTCCCCCCTCCCCCCACCTCTTCCCCCAATCCCACTCCCCCCTCCCCCCTACCCCCTACCTCTTACCCCCCGTACTCCCCTCCCCCTCACCCCGGATCACTCCTTGTGTCCGTTTGAGCCACCTCGGCTCATGTTATTTATGAGCACACCTTTTCAACGGCATTGATCTAAAACTCAGAACCCCTTCATACCATACCATGTGCAACCTGCACTCATCCACGTGCCATCCAAGGCAAGGCACTCATCGCCAAGGTAGTCCTGCCAGCCAACCAACAACCCGGTCGAATTTATTTGAGGTTCCACATTTCAAGTTATGTGAAATCAGCAAAGGTTTGGATCTACGGTATTCCTGTCCAGTATAGGGTAAACCATCTTGTCTAAAGCAGTGTTCAATCTTTGCATTTCCTCTGAGATGTTCCTTACCTTTCAACAAAAGTACACACCGTATGCCCTCGTATTTCAATCTAAGATTATTTTTGTACAGCTAATTGTACACGAAAGAGAGCACTCTGAAGCGGGTTTGAATCGAAAAAGTTTTGAATTTCAAAATTGCCCTCACAGAGCGGAATACGCGGCGCCGCGCGCTCTGAGGACACGATAGGGCGCGTGTCACACAGGGGAGTCTTTCTGTTGATCACACCATAAGGCTCTTCTTGGCCCACTCTGTTCTGTTTCACACCCATCTTGCCTTTTCACTCCACGCGCTTTATCCGAGCTAGCACACAACCCAACAATCCTCTCAAAAGACGATGTCCTAGGAAAACCATCTCTTGACAGACTTCACCCGTCTATGTCCCTATTTCCTACTATCAAAGGTGCCGCGAAATAGTAGTTACTGACTACAGCTTCATTAGGCTACACCACCCTCTGTTAACGAATAAGGTTAAGTGATGCTGTTACTATCGCATGCGAGTAACGACTCGATCTGCCTATCCCTCACCATGTGTCAGTAGCGGTTAGCGGCGTCTATCTCTCGTGCGCATCCCCTGGTCAGACTGCTCTGCTCAGTGGTGCTTCTTAACATCAATTCGTCAATCTCTCTCGCCGCCCTTTCTTCTATGCGCTTTACTATCGCTTAGCAACCTGACAATCCTCCCAACCGGGAAAGCCATCACTTTTCACCGTGCCCAGCAATCACCCTTCGGTGGTGACTTTACCCCGTCGGTCGAAAGCCTCGGGCCGCTCCCAGGTGACTGGCCCGCGAACAGTGAGAAACTCGTTGGGAAGAATAACCACGCGTGAAGAGCTTGAGAGATCAATGGACACCTCTTTGCACGCTGGAATCGCGAGGAACGAGCAGGAACGGAGGGACGAACTGAGATCGTCGTTGTAGCTCTTGGCTCGATTCACGTAGTCAATGATCTTCTCCATTGGCTCCATTGCGAGCAGCAGCAGTTTCTTTCTCACTGCAGTCAGATTCGTGTCGCTCCGTCCGAGATATACCGCTTCCATGTATGCCCATGCACGTTGTGCTGAATTGATGTCGTCCGCAAACTGGTCCAGCCCCACAGCGATGGAGTCCGAAACTGAGTGACACAGTTGGAAGAAAGCTTGCAAACTCTTCTTCTTGTATGTCCTCTTTTCTTGTGCCGTTGCCGTTGCAGGTGGAGGTACTCCTTCCTCCGTCTCCTCGTCCGCTTTGTAGAGGGGCCAGATATCAACTTCTCTTGCCCTCCGCATGAACTTAAGTCGCCATGTGCTGTAGTTGTTGCCATTAAACCGTTGCGCCTCGCTCAGGCCAATCGTTGGCCTGGCCACCACGTGCCCTTGTGTAAGGGCCTCCAAGAGGGCTTGGACTTGGGGAACTTCAGCACTGACTGAAGAACCCGAGCTTGCCTCACCATCCCCATTCGGCATGATGCAGGAACTTGTCTTGGCCCTTCTTGAATGTTTGAAACACACTAGAACCAGCTCTGATACCAGCTCTTAGACTTAGTCGTAGTGAGGACGTGACTTAGAAGTCACGAAAACAGCAGTAGCGGGCTCCAAACTGGATCTGAAAGTTGAAGAAACAGGTTGCTTTCCAACCCAGGTTGTAAACAGAAAGTTTCACTATGAAAAAAAAGATTAAATGAGGAAAACAGAACATGATATTTAAGCAATCCGAAATCCGAATTTCAAAGGGCGCCTCGTGTAACGCGCCTCGTCGCAAATCCGAATTTCGTAACAGTAACCGACGTTGAAAACCGAAATTCGAACTGAACCGTCGTTGAAACCGACTTTCTTCAACTCCACCGAACACCGCCTCCGATATGGTTGGAAAAATTCTGGCGGTTGAGAACGTTCTTCCCTCTCTCTCTCCTGAAACCCTTGTTTTCACCAGCTGCTCCTCACAATCTTCTCAGCTAGCTCCTCCCACCGTCAAAACTCGTTTTCCAGCCTATTCTCTCCCACCGCCATAGGTAAGGCAATTTCCAAGTGTCCTGTTCTGTCGTTTTCATGCTCTAGAGTCGGTGCAGCGGCGAACCACTTCTAACAATCTCCCCTGTGGTTTGCTGCTGCCAACCCTAGATCTGAAATTCTTAATCACTGTTCCTCCACATTGCTCCCCTGTAAGTCCTGCAGGGTACGCATCCCGACAAGATACTTGCAGCGCTCGAAATTAGCCTTCGGAAGGACCTTAGTAAGAAAGTCGGCCGCTTGATCTTCTGTCCGTACAAACTCAAAGGTAAATGTATTTTTCTCCAGCTGTTCATGCACCCAATGATATTTAATGTCCATGTGCTTGGTCCGCCCGTGCCATTTGTCGTTTTTCGCCAATGCTATGGCCGATTTGCTATCCGATCCGATGGTTGTTGGACCTTGCACACGTACTCCCATTTCTTGTAGCAATCGCCTTAGCCAGACTCCTTCTTGGCATGGGTAGAATAACGCCATATATTCCGCTTCCGCGCTTGAGAGTGCAATGTCGTTCAGCGTCTTCCCTTGCCATGTGATTGCTGTCCCGCCTAGGAGAAAGACGTATCCATAAGCTCCCTTCCTGTCCTTCTTGTCTGATGCATGGGATGCATCAGCGTATCCGATTAACTCCATTGTTTCTTCTCCGCCTTCGTATAGTAGCCCCTCTTCTCCCCGTTGCTGCAGATAAGTGATTGTGCGCTGCATCTCCTTCCATTTGCGGCCTTCTCGCTGCAGCACGTTCTGCCCCAAGAAGCTGGCAGCATGTGCGACATCTACCTGCGTACAAGAGACGGGGTACATCACCGATCCGACGCGTGTCTGGTAAGCCTTCAATGCTCGTTCCTTGCTGCCCCATTGGATGAGTTCTTCTTTAGGATTGATTTCTTTCTCCGAGAGGCTGCTGAGCGGAGTTGTCACGGCCTTGGTGCAGCCTGGTGTCCCAAATCGTTCTTGCAGCCGTTGGATGTACTTCTTTTGGTAAATTAGCAGCTTCCTTCATTCTCGGTCCCGCTCCAGGTTCATGCCAAGGAACAACGTGGCTCGCGGGATCTGCTTCACTTGAAACATGGCTGCAAGGTGAGCACACACCTCCTCAACTCTGTCCTCTACAGCTCCAGCCACTAGGATGTCGTCGACGTAGAGTAGGAGGTAGACTTTCTCCTCCCCTTCCCCTTTCCAGTAAAACGCTCTGTCGCACTGACTTTTCTGGAATCCTCCTTTGAGTAGACGTGCATCCATAGTCCTGTACCACTCTCGAGGGCTTTGTTTCAGCCCATAGAGTGCTTTGCTGACAGGGGCATATGTCTCCGTGTAGTCGATTCCCTCCACTTGCGTGTAACCCTTTGCCACCAGCCGTGCTTTGAACCTCTCCAGCTGCCCCTTATCCCCTGTTTTAATCTTGAAAATCCACTTGACGCCAACGGCGTGCCTCCCTTCGGGCATTTGGACGAGTTTCCACGTGCCTCTCTCCGCGAGAGCGTCCAACTCCTCTTGTATAGCCGCTTTCCACTGCTCCTTGTATGGTCCAAGAAAGTGCTTCCTCGATGGTCAGGGGTTCTTGTGGCAGCTTGTAGGTCTCTCTCCTTTCCTTGGTGATCAACGCGGTCGCCGTCGAGGTGAGAAGGAGGTGAATGTGTACGTCTTTCCAGCATGTCATCAGGACCTGTTGGTATTTCAGATTCGGTTTCTTCATCCGCTTCCCCCTTCCCAGCTCCTCTCCTTTCACCGAAGCATCACTTGCACCCGTATCTGCTGCCATCTCCCCTGCTTTCTACGTGCTTGTGCCGCCTTCCTCTCTCCCAATAAGAATGGCTCCATCCTGCAGCAAGTTGTCAATCTCTGCAGCTCATTTGTCATTGTTGCTTCTCTCAAAAAATTCCCACGGGTCGCTTCTCCCCTCAGTACTTGACCGATCTGCTTGTTCAGCTTCATCCTCTCCAATTTCTCCATCTTTGGCGCTCGCTGATTTTGGCAGAAGTGGAGTTGTAGGCACCGCTTCCATGTCACTGTTGTCGAGCTTATCCTCCGTTGGCTCCCACACCCAATCCACTCCAGCTTGGGTATGTTCTTCTTCATCTTCTTCCCCTTCGTTGTTCGCTGTCCCCAAGCCTTCGTTTTGGGCATCTTCAAGCAGTTCCTCCGCTTGTTGAGGTGTGGCAGGTGCTGTCCCTGGAGTTGTGCCCTTGTTGCTTGCCTTCCAGTCCACGTAGTTGAGGTTTTCGTAGAATGTGACATCCCTGGTCGCCAGCACGATCCCAGTCTCCACGTCTTTGATAATCCAGCCTTTGCTCTCCAGGCATGTTCCTAAGTGCACCCCCCAACGTGCTCTTGGCAGGAGTTTGTGATCAGCTCCAGCAGGGGGGCTGTACTGCGTCATACAGCCCCATACTCGAAGAAACTTCAGGTTAGGCGTCCGCTTGTAGAATGCTTCATGAGGGGTCATCATTGCTGCAAGTCCTTTTGTTGGTAGGCGATTTTTCAGCCAGCAGGCCATGCCTAGTGCGTCTCCCCAATAGGTCAGAGGTAGCTTACTGTCCGCCAGCATGCTCCGCACGCTATTGAGCAACGTCCTATTCACCCGTTCCGCGATGCTGTTGTGTTGGGGGGTGTGGGGAATAGTACGCTGCTGTCGTATTTCCTGGGCTTTGAGGTAGTCGTTGAAGTCCTTGTTGATGAATTCCCCACCGTTGTCGGTTCGGAGAACTTTCAGCTGCTTGCCGCTTTGTCTTTCAGCTTCCGCCAACCAATCAATGAAACTCGGTAAAACTTGCGTTTTGTCTTTGATCTCCGTCACCCATGTGAGTCTTGTGCCGATGTCCGTGAATGTAATGAAGTATCTGCTGCCATGTCGTGATGTGACCCTCATTGGACCGCATACGTCCGCTGCCACAACTTCCATTGCCCCATATGGCTCCTTCGGTCCATGTCTTGGATGGGGAGCCTTTGTAGCTTTTCCTTCAATACATGAGTCGCACTTCGTATGGGTTTCCTCAGCTCCAGTCACCTTCACTCCCGCTGCCATGTTTTTCTTCATCATTTCCTTGATCCGTTGAGTGTTCGCATGCCCCATCCTTTTGTGCAGGAGATTGATATCAACCGCTTCCACCGCTGCTGCCACGGGAAGCTTCAGCTGCTGCAGCTCGGTCATTGCAGTATTTTCCAGCATGGTACGTAGCTCTTCTCGGGCCTTCTTCCCTTCTTCAGGTTCAGGTTGATAGGTGACCTTGTCTTCACGCGAATCTTGCTCCTTCAGCTTCATCTCGTAGAGTCCTTGAGTCCGTGCGCCTTCCGCTAGCAGTTGCCAGTCGGGACCGAACACCCACAGCTTTCCGTTGTCATTGAACGTCTTGCAGCCACTGCTGTCCAGTTGCGTTTGACTTATCAGGTTGAGGGACAGCTTCTCCACCAGGAGAACGTTGTCCATTTTCAGCTCCCCATAGGGGCTCTGTAAAATCAGGTCCCCTTCTCCTTGCACTTGAAGTTTTCCTTCATCCCCGAGTAGGACGTAAGGGACTCCGGATTCCCGGTAGTCGCGTAGCCAATCAGCTCGGTGCGTCATGTGCTGTGTGCACCCGCTGTCCATAAACCAAGCCTTCTCCTTGAATCCTTTTGACAGCAGGCACACCTCGGATGCTCGAGCAACGTTTGCTTTGTGGGCGCCTCCAAGAATAGCGTCAACCTTTGTCGTGTCCTCCACAGCTGCAGGTGCCTCCATTACATTTGTCTTCGCTGCTGCTGGCCTTTGTTGCAGCTCCTTTCCTCCTGCTGGCTTTGTTGTTGTAGCAGTCGGAAGCCTTGTGCCCATATTTGCCGCAATGGTTGCAGTTTCCATTGAATCCTCCGCTTGCCTTGTAGCCTTCTCCGTGTCCCGTCTCGATGTTTTGCTGCCAGCGCCCTTTCCCTTTGTAGTTTCTTGCATTTGGGTTGGAATAACAGTTCGCAGCTTTGTGCCCCTTCTTCCCGCAGTGGTAGCAGCTGCCAACAATCCTTGGGGTTGCAGTTGCATTCAAATTTGCAGGCCTGTTCTCTTCTGCTACTGTTGCCACTGCTTCCCTCCGTTTCAGGTCAGATTTGACCAGCTCCAGCGCTTGGAGGGTCTCGAGCAGCTGGGTCATATCCTTGGGCGTGTTGCAGGTAAGGATTCCAATCTCTGCTGTCCACTCCTTGGGTAGGCCGCTGATGATGTATCCCATCATGTGCTTCTCATTGCTGTGAGATCGTCGTTGTAGCTCTTGGCTCGATTCACGTAGCCAATGATCTTCTCCATTGGCTCCATTGCGAGCAGTAGCAGTTTCTTTCTCACTGCAGTCAGATTCGTGTCGCTCCGTCCGAGATATACCGCTTCCATGTATTCCCATGCACATTGTGCTGAATTGATGTCGTCCGCAAACTGGTCCAGCCCCACAGCGATGGAGTCCGAAACTGAGTGACACAGTTGGAAGAAAGCTTGCAAACTCTTCTTCTTGTATGTCCTCTTTTCTTGTGCCGTTGCCGTTGCAGGTGGAGGTACTCCTTCCTTCGTCTCCTCGTCCGCTTTGTAGAGGGGCCAGATATCAACTTCTCTTGCCCTCCGCATGAACTTAAGTCGCCATGTGCTGTAGTTGTTGCCATTGAACCGTTGCGCCTCGCTCAGGCCAACCGTTGGCCTGGCCACCACGTGCCCTTGTGCTTAAGGGTCGGAAGGCCCAAGTGGATAGAATGAGAGAGGAGAAAGAAGATTGGGTGCAGAGGCAGCTGGGAGAGGAGAACGAAGGGGAGGGGGATGATGTGCAAGAGGAGGGGGTGAGGGATGAGGCGGAGGAAACGACGAAGAGAATGGATGTGACGATGAGAGATGGGCTTGCGGGATTCGAGAATGAGACTTGGAAGCAAGGGCTTAAGGAAGATCCAGGGTTTAAGCGAGAGGAAGGAGCAAGCAACGATGCAGAGGAAGCACATGAAAACGAAGCCGATGGAGAGGGAGGGAGGGAATCAGGGTCAGCAGATCACGGGGCAAAGCAACGAGCAGAGCATGGGGTTGGGCAAGGGGCCGAGCAAGGGGCAGAGCAAGGGGCAGAGCAAGGGGCAGAGCAAGGAGCAGAGCAAGGAGCAGGGCAAGCGGCAGGGCAAGCGGCAGGGGAAGGGGCAGCGGAAGGGGCAGTGGAAGGGGCAGTGGAAGGGGCAGTGGAAGGGGCAGTGGAAGGGGCAGTGGAAGGGGCAGGGCAAGGGGCAGAGGGGTCAGGGGAGGGGCGACCTGCCAGTGTGGACAGACAGTCAGTGACGCGAGCGGTTGCCGGGGAGGGAGCCGTGCAAGAGGAATGTTTTGACAATCTTTCCATGGTGCAGGTGAGCGGGGCGAAGAGAGAGAGAGAGAAGACTGGGGGTCTATTGCGTGGGCGTTTGTGAGAGGGGTGATTGAGAGGCGTCCGCACAAGATGGAGTTGGCGACGTTCATTACTAGGAGTAGGTGGGAAAGAAGCATATGAGATATGTGACAAACATCCGCTCTTGCCTGACAAGGACCTCATGTTAGGGAGCTGGCGGCGTTCATTACCAGGACCGTAATGAAGCATCTGAGATATGTGACAAACATCCGCTCTTGTGTTACCAGGACCGTACTTCAAGGACCTTATATTTCTTCATTTGCTTACGATCCCTCTTGTTTCTTCGCCCCATATTTCTTCATTTTCCACCCTTTGCTTACACTTCCTCTATTGCTCGCCAACGCTCACATTCCATCCAGTTGTTCTCGAATCCACACCCAGGCATTCATGACTGCATCTCTCGCTTTCCCTCGTTTCTCCCCTCTTCTCACCCTTGCATTTCTCGCAACCCTCCCCCATTCTCTCCTATTTCTCTGCTCTTTCCCCCATCCTCCCCTCTCCCATTCCGCCTCTGCCCCAACCCAGCCACTCATCGCCGCCGCCCACAGTGCCGGGAGCAGAGGGCCGCACTGAGAGAGGATTCAGGAGGAGTGGTTACCACGAACGTGGAGGAGAGGCATGCACACAGGGGACAAGGGGGAGGTGGGGCGGGGAGAGCAGGAGGAACACAGGTGGGGAGGGGGGACACAGGGGGGTTGCTGGTGGGGACGGCGCCTCAGTGGCCGGTCGGCCGGAGGGCAAGCGAAGCAGAGGTGAGGGCACGACTGCAGGGAAGGATCAATAGTCTGCTTTGCAGTGTCGGCCCTGACAGGCAGGAGCATACCACCCGACAGATCAATGAGGTGGTTTACGAGCTCGCGAACCAAGACCCCACTGCAAAAGAGCTCTCCGTCTCTACCGTCTCCCTCGGTGGCCCCTCCCTCGCCTACTACCTCCATCTCGCTCCCCAGTGCTACCCGGACTTGCTACAGTGCGTCACCAGCCTTGACCCCCGTAATCTCCAGCCCGTCTCGACACAGGCCGTGAGACAGCTTCTCCGCCTGCCCTCCCTCACAGCCCTTCCACGAAACTCCGATCCGTTCAGACGCCCTGCCGCTCTTCCAGTGCATGTCTCGGCTCCGGCGGCTTGTCATAGCATGTGCTAACCCCTCCGACGTTCTCAATCTATCTGCCAGCCGGCAAGCCAAATCACCCACTCCGTCTGATCCCATCAGCAAACCCCAGCCGTTTCAGAGCTTGAGGGAGCTGCATGTGAGTCGGGTGACAGACTCTATTCTGCAGCAGGTGGGGGTGCTCACAAGCCTTGAGCTCCTTTCTTGCACGTACAGCAAGGAGGTGACTTCTAGGGGATGGATTCACCTGAGGGGAATGCTGAACCTGAAGAGGCTGCAGCTGGTACCAACAATCCTTATAAAAAATTTCGGATCCAATGACCACCACAGCGACTACTACCGCATGTGCATCCGCCTTGGGCTGAAGCTAAGCTTCCCCGAATACCGTCTGCCAAAGATCATCCAAACCTTCCAAAGGCCTCCCAAAAAAGGGGCTGCTGCCTCCGCAAGTGAAGACCCCAGCAACCGCATTGATGGGAGCATATGGGAGGTGGTGGGTGCCCTGCCAGGCCTGCAGCACCTGGAGCTGCACGCACCAGAGCCCAGCACCACAGCCCTGCGATCCCTCTCCACCATCACGCACCTCACAACCCTCCACATCACCGGCACAGCGCTTGATGACTCTGACTTGCTGTGCTTGAGTGGGTTCTCAATGCTCACAGACGTCAGCCTGGCTGCCTGCACGTTCGCAGCAGACCATGCTGTGAGGACGGTGATTCAAGGCATGATGCACCTGAAATCGCTGGACCTGTCGGGAACGGCCATCAGCCAAGGCGCTGCGGTGCATCTGCAAGCGCTAGAGCGGCTGGAGCGGTTGAAGCTGCAGCAGTGCATCGGCATGAGCAAGCTGTTTGTGGAGCATCTGAGCCAGGTTCCTGCGCTGAGGGAGTTGGATCTTGGCTGCAACATGCAGCATGCCGGTTCTGGAAGGGAAGAAGGTGACTCGGCTAGGGGTAAGGGGCTGTGGGTTTGTTGCAAGAACATTGAAAGGGCTTCAGCGGGATTGGATTGAGATTGACTTGAGATCAAATGAGTGACCATGGGAGGGATGAATCGTACGGTATGAGTTATAGAGTGCTTTGGCATGTGGTGCAAAACCATCCTGCATGTAATTGGGTTAGAATTGTGAAGTAAGACTGTGAGACCACCATGTTGAATGTGCAGCACACATACTGGTAGCTATGGTGTTTCATCAGATGTTAGTTAACAATAGCCATTGGAATGGAATCTTCAGACCCTTCCATTTGAAAAATTAATCCACTCTTATCACACAAAACAAAACTATATGTATGTGAGCTCAGCAACAGGTAGTCATATGGTACTAGTGTTCCATATGAAAGCCCATGGGCTAAAACAGCAGCATTCCTGCTTGCCGATCGCACTTTAGCGGCAAGCCCCAATGCCCCATGCGAGTCACCCTTTAGTAGCCCACGGACGCCCAGCCATACTTCTGCAGCTCCACACGCAGTGCCTGCCGATGCGAGTGAGACATGGGAGAGGGACGGGAGGGAGGCAGGGAGAGATGGGAAAGGGGCGGTGAGAGATGGTGGAGAGGCAGGGAACAGAGAATGGTATTGGACGCTTGGGGTTTGAGAGGCAAGAACGAGTCGGGACTATTTAGATGTAGTGTCGGGACCAATGAAGCCCGCCCTGTAGCAGCAGGTTGGCATCCAGGTCGCTCTCCCCCAGCCAGGGTGCACTGCGGTACTCCACCAGGGAACAGCACAGAGGGAATCACAACTCCCTGGCCTATCCACCCCATTCTCCCCACCCACAACCAGCCCCCCCACCTCTTCCCCCCCTCCTCCCCCTCACCATCGCACCTTGATGCGCTTGTGGTTAGCATCCGGTCGCTCTCCCCCAGCCGCAACGCACTCCACCAGGGAACGGCTGCCTGGGGGGAACCAGAACCGCCACCCGAGCCCACCCGTTCACTTCCAGGCAGCCCACGCATCCCCCATTCACCTCCCAACCACGACCAACCCCCTCCTCCTCCCTCCCATCCCCACACCACGCACCTTGATGCGCTTGCGGTTGGCATCCAGGTCACTCTCCATTCACCTTCCATCACAACCCATCCATTCACCTTCCATCACAACCCATCCATTCACCTTCCATCACAACCCGTCCATTCACCTTCCATCACAACCCATCCATTCACTTGTCACCCCCTCCCCATCGCACCTTGATGCGCTTGCGGTTGGCATCGAGGTCGCTCTCCCCAATCCGCGATGCACTGCGGTACTCCACCAGGGAGCGGCTGCCCGGAGGGAACCAGAACTCCACATCGTCCACGTACTGGGGGGAAGGAGGGCGGGGAAAGGGGAGGAAATGGGGGAGGTAGGGGGAAGAGAGAGCACACAGGTGAGGCCAGGACGCACTGCGGTACTCCACCAGGGAGCGGCTGCCCGGAGGGAACCAGAAATCCACATTGTCCACGTTCTGGGGGGGAGGAAAGGAGGGATGGGGAGGGGGGGGGAGGAAGGAAGGAGGGGGTTCAGGGGGAACGGGTTGAGCAGGCAGGGTGAGACGGGACGGGATCTTTCGTACTATGAAAACTCTCAAAAAAAAAAAAAAAAAAAAAAAAAAAAAAAAGGTGAGATGGGACCTTGGCAGCAGCAGGTAGCTGCAGTACTCCACCAGAGCACCGGTGCCGGGAGAGGGGGGGCTGTGTCATCCACGTCCTGGGGAGGAGGGGAAGTGGGGAGGAGGGGAGGAGGGGAAGTGGGGAAGTGGGGAGGAGGGGAAGTGGGGAAGTGGGGAGGAGGGGAGGTGGGGAAGTGGGGAGGAGGGGAAGTGGGGAAGTGGGGAGGAGGGGAAGTGGGGAAGTGGGGAGGAGGGGAAGTGGGGAAGTGGGGAGGGGGGGAAGTGGGGAAGTGGGGAGGAGGGGAAGTGGGGAAGTGGGGAGGAGGGGAAGTGGGGAAGTGGGGAGGAGGGGAAGTGGGGAAGTGGGGAGGAGGGGAAGTGGGGAAGTGGGGAGGAGGGGAAGTGGGGAAGTGGGGAGGAGGGGAAGTGGGGAAGTGGGGAGGAGGGAAGTGGGGAAGTGGGGAGGAGGGGAAGTGGGGAAGTGGGGAGGAGGGGAAGTGGGGAAGTGGGGAGGAGGGGAAGTGGGGAAGTGGGGAGGAGGGGAAGTGGAGAAGTGGGGAGGAGGGGAAGTGGGGAAGTGGGGAGGAGGGGAAGTGGGGAAGTGGGGAAGTGGGGAGGAGGGGAAGTGGGAAAGTGGGGAGGAGGGGAAGTGGGGAAGTGGGGAGGAGGGGAAGTGGGGAAGTGGGGAGGAGGGGAAGTGGGGAAGTGGGGAAGTGGGGAGGAGGGGAAGTGGGGAAGTGGGGAGGAGGGGAAGTGGGGAAGTGGGGAGGAGGGGAAGTGGGGAAGTGGGGAGGAGGGGAAGTGGGGAAGTGGGGAGGAGGGGAAGTGGGGAAGTGGGGAGGAGGGGAAGTGGGGAAGTGGGGAGGAGGGGAAGTGGGGAAGTGGGGAGGAGGGGAAGTGGGGAAGTGGGGAAGTGGGGAGGAGGGGAAGTGGGAAAGTGGGGAGGAGGGGAAGTGGGGAAGTGGGGAGGAGGGGAAGTGGGGAAGTGGGGAGGAGGGGAAGTGGGGAAGTGGGGAAGTGGGGAGGAGGGGAAGTGGGGAAGTGGGGAGGAGGGGAAGTGGGGAAGTGGGGAGGAGGGGAAGTGGGGAAGTGGGGAGGAGGGGAAGTGGGGAAGTGGGGAGGAGGGAAGTGGAGAAGTGGGGAGGAGGGGAAGTGGGGAAGTGGGGAGGAGGGGAAGTGGGGAAGTGGGGAAGTGGGGAGGAGGGGAAGTGGGGAAGTGGGGAGGAGGGGAAGTGGGGAAGTGGGGAGGAGGGGAAGTGGGGAAGTGGGGAGGAGGGGAAGTGGGGAAGTGGGGAGGAGGGGAAGTGGGGAAGTGGGGAGGAGGGGAAGTGGGGAAGTGGGGAGGAGGGGAAGTGGGGAAGTGGGGAGGAGGGGAAGTGGGGAAGTGGGGAGGAGGGGAAGTGGGGAAGTGGGGAGGAGGGGAAGTGGGGAAGTGGGGAGGAGGGGAAGTGGGGAAGTGGGGAGGAGGGGAAGTGGGGAAGTGGGGAGGAGGGGAAGTGGGGAAGTGGGGAGGAGGGGAAGTGGGGAAGTGGGGAAGTGGGGAGGAGGGGAAGTGGGAAAGTGGGGAGGAGGGGAAGTGGGGAAGTGGGGAGGAGGGGAAGTGGGGAAGTGGGGAGGAGGGGAAGTGGGAAAGTGGGGAGGAGGGGAAGTGGGGAAGTGGGGAGGAGGGGAAGTGGGGAAGTGGGGAAGTGGGGAAGTGGGGAGGAGGGGAAGTGGGAAAGTGGGGAGGAGGGGAAGTGGGGAAGTGGGGAGGAAGGGAAGTGGGGAAGTGGGGAGGAGGGGAAGTGGGGAGGAGGGGAAGTGGAGAAGTGGGGAGGAGGGGAAGTGGGGAAGTGGGGAGGAGGGGAAGTGGGGAAGTGGGGAAGTGGGGAGGAGGGGAAGTGGGAAAGTGGGGAGGAGGGGAAGTGGGGAAGTGGGGAGGAGGGGAAGTGGGGAAGTGGGGAGGAGGGGAAGTGGGAAAGTGGGGAGGAGGGGAAGTGGGGAAGTGGGGAGGAGGGGAAGTGGGGAAGTGGGGAAGTGGGGAAGTGGGGAGGAGGGGAAGTGGGAAAGTGGGGAGGAGGGGAAGTGGGGAAGTGGGGAGGAAGGGAAGTGGGGAAGTGGGGAGGAGGGGAAGTGGGGAAGTGGGGAAGTGGGGAAGTGGAGGGGATTGCCGGGGCGAGTGGCGGGTGTGGATGATGGTCGCACGTGCACGAGACAGCATTGCACTGAAACAGACACCCTTCATTCATACCATTGCTGCTCTTATCCACTCATGGGGGTGAGTTCCATCCAAGCCACTCCCCCCATGAACGCCACTCACCCCCATGAGCGGGAAATCATGCACATGCCACCCATCCCACTCACATGCCACCCATCCCACTCACCCCCATGAGCGGGCTCTCGTATTCCACGTAGAGGTAGTCGGGGCGGCGAGTGATGATGGTGGGCGTGAAGCCATCGGGCTTGGTGGCCGTCACCTGGGGAGAGGGGGAGGGGGACAAGGGGTGTGTGTGTGGGGCGAGTAAGGGGGGTGTGAGACGGGTTAAGGGCGTGTGCTGTGCTGCGAGTGATGATGGTGGGCGTGAAGCTGCCAGCCTGAGTGGAATGCGAGCAAGGGGGGGGGAAAGAAAAGGAGGATGGAGGGGTGGCGGGTGGGAAGGGGTGTTGGGGCAGAGGGGGTGTGGGGGAAAAGAGGGTTTGGGAAGGAGGGTTTTGGAAAAAAAGGAACGGGCGTTGATTCAAGTGCTACGAGTAATCGAAGGCGTGAAACCGGAAAAAGGCGGGACAGAGCGGGGAAAATTCGATGACAGGGGAGAGATGCGAGGTGGGAGGGAAGGCAGGTTGAGTAGCGAGCAACGAGTGGCAGAGGAACAGGGGACACAAACGAGCGGCAGTGGGGACGAGAGGGGAGGGGAACAATCGCTAATCCGTCCCACGTTCTCTTTCCTCCTCATTGGCTCTCGCACTTATTATCCCACCATCCCGCCCACTCCCGATAACCCCCCTCCCTCCCTCTCCCGAAACCCCCCAAGCCCGTTCTTCCTCCTGATTCTCCGCTACACCTCGTGCACTTCCCCCTTTCGTTCCCACGTCTGCTCCATCCCCTCGCCAGCGCTCAGGCCCCCCACCACCACCATCTCTCCACCCACTCCTCTCCACCACTCACCACCGCCACGAGCTCCTCCATTGCCTGCTCCTGCGAGGCGGGGTTCTTCCTGCCGCGCCCCTCCTCAGGGTTGTACGTCCTGAGAGGGAGAGGGGGCAGACAGGCATGGAAAAAGACAGGAGAACGAGGGAGGAGCAGCGAGCATGATTTGGGGAATGCACGTCCACACGGCGCCCCTCATCAGGGTTGTACGTCCTAATAGGGAGAGGCGGCAGAGAGGCATGGCAGAGAGGCACGGCGGAGAGGCACGGCAGAGAGGCATGGCAGAGAGGCACGGCGGA